AGTATCTTGGATCTGCTGCATTTAGTAAAGCTATCCAAGCTCACGATCTTCACACTGGCATGGATGTTTGTGTAAAGATCATAAAGAACAATAAAGATTTCTTTGACCAGAGCCTTGATGAAATAAAGCTTCTCAAGTATGTCAACAAGCATGATCCCGCTGACAAGTACCATTTACTTCGGTTGTATGATTACTTCTATTATCGAGTAAGTAAATTCTTAGTTTTTCTTCATTAAACTAATATTTCATTCATGTGGTGCGAAAACCCCTTTATAAAAGTTGTGTACAGTAAGTAAAGAACCTACACAAGAACATGGTTCTTTAAGAAATTCACTCAATCATATTACCTGGATAAGTTTGTTTTTATAGAAAAACAAAATTTTGCCCTAATTTAGACATTTTTTCTCACCACCTTCAAAAGCTTCCTATTTTTTCTCTCCATGTAACCAACATTTTGTGGGTGCTAGAGGAACTGCAACCGGGGTTCTGCATCTTCTTTTTCCTTTGTGAATTGCCAACTGAGCATAAATCTTTGACCCATGCTGGCATCAACCTTAGCTTTTCCTACCTTGGTTTTCTATATCATGTGTCTCTTCTTTTCAAGTGGAAGTCTTCTGATCCTTTATAATGAATGGAAATCTTCTGATTGTAAAAATAGCAACTTATAAGTAAGATTCAATTCTCTATGGTCAGCACAAAGAGGCCTGATATAAGAACCAGAACTAATATGGGCTGAATATGTACACTTCAAAAACTCTATTGCCCTTAATTTTTTAGGAAGTAAAGGAAAATTGAACAAAGTTCTAAATCATACAATCAACTTGTAAAGCTAGAAAGCCAAAAAAGTATCAAACAATGTAAGAAACTTATGCACAGATTCAACCTGGCCCTTGGAGCATACCTCTGTTGGCTTCTGAGGCGTATCCAGAATTTCGAGATGATGGTTGCATTACGAAAAGGTGGATCTGTGATATAAATTTGATTGGTTTACATTTAGGTTCTTATCACTGAAATCCATTAAATTTTAAAATTATAGACCCAAATTATTTTTATCTATCCAAGCCATTCAGAAAAAACGTTTCCCAATTTTAGAAAGGAAAATAATAAAAGATTCAAATTTCTAACCTCTCTAAGAGAGGTGCACCCAATCATCATCGCACGACATTATGGTACTTCAAGTGTGGGTTTGCACATCTATATTTAAATATTTTTTTAAAAATATAACACTACTATATATGATTTTAGGAGGGGAGCGTGGGTTCACATGAACCCGTTGACCCCCTCCTGGATACGCCTCTGGTTGGCTTTCCTGCTATACCTTCCAAAGATGCGTGCTGGAAGGTGAACCGTACTTCCATTGTTCTTTAACAAATTTTCTGTCTGACGAGCCAGTAGCATACCACTTAATGTTCTAACAACTGCCCTACCAAGTCCATATAAATCGGAAAACACATCTTAAAAGTTAATTTTTCCACTTCACAATGAAGGAAAAGTTGTTAAAATCTTTAGCTTCTGACTTTCACATAAAATATCTATAACATAATGAATCTCCTCCTATGCAAATCAGAATGAGTCAGCTGAGCTCCTGGTCTGCAATCCAACAACCTTAGGAGGAGAATTGGATGATCGGGCCGAGGGCTGCCCCCTTTTGACTTTTTCCCTAATGACCGACCCTTTAAGGCCAATTACAAGTGTGAAACTGATGAAAGTGGTTTGTGGCCTCATTTTGCATGATTTGTACTGTCCTTCTGGTGTCTACACTTCAATATATATAGGATTTTATGTTAACTGCACCTTCCAAAATTTTAAAGCTGAACCATCTTTTTTACTTCCCTATTAACGGAATTCCTTCTAAATGCTAAATTCCATCTACTCCGTGGTCTGCGCTGGGCCACTGCCTTGTCTGTTTTGAAAGCAAAACCATATAACCAAGGAAACATCTTTATGTACAATTTTGAATGATAAGCTGAAAAAACTCTTGGACTATGAAATGCAATTCCCTACTGAACGTTGTGTTTGTTATCAGGAACATTTGTTAATTGTATGTGAGCTCCTTAAAGCAAATCTTTACGAGTTCCATAAATTTAATAGAGAATCTGGAGGAGAAGTCTACTTTACCATGCCAAGACTGCAGGTTTGTCACATTGCTATATCCATAAAGATTTTATGTTATCAATGATGCTTCTCTTCTGACTCGATATGAATCACTGCTGCAGTCAATCACTATACAATGTTTGGAGGCTCTTCAGTTTTTGCATGGCCTTGGGCTTATACATTGTGACTTGAAACCTGAGAACATATTGGTGAAAAGCTACAGTAGATGTGAAGTGAAGGTGATTGATCTAGGAAGCAGTTGTTTCGAAACCGATCATCTTTGTTCTTATGTCCAATCTAGATCCTACCGCGCACCTGAAGTTATTTTGGGACTTCCATATGATAAGAAGATCGATATCTGGTCACTTGGCTGCATCCTAGCAGAACTTTGCACGGGAAATGTAGGTTCTTTCTTTATGCATTTGTGTTTTTAACCTCTTTTTAACTAGTGAAAGTATGATTCTGATGTTAGGGAACTTTCACCTGTCATAGCAGACACTATGGTAGTTCCTAAATTTTTATCCACTGTCCTCACATTTTTAAGAAGCTGCAGAGTTGACTTCTGTGATTTGGGACGCACGATGTTGTGGAGTTAGATGTGGCACCAAAACTCTTGGAAGCCTTAATATTGTCTGCCATGTAATCCTAGTGTCTAAGAAGGTTTCTGGTGGTGTATTTGGAAGTCCATTTTAAAGGAATAATCAGTATCCTTCTCCATGTTTTACTATACTAGTCGACAGTCATACTGCCACTTTTAATTTTGACACCGTTTTGCCTGCTGAGTGGCATTCTTTTTAAGTGGAATTGGAAGAAGCAAACCTATTAAAGTGGCATGTGTAGTGCAGACTAGGTGGAGCCAACTCATCTGTTGTGAACTAATATTTCATTAAGTGTATACAATCTCTCTGATAGATTTGGAATATTGGTGACAATTAGAAAATTTGTATCTAGTTTGACAGGCAGGAGTACTCAAATAACCGTAGTATTTTGATACTACAGTTCTGTTTAACACATCAATTTGCTGATTGCCAATCCTTCTTGAGGACTCTGCAATGCACTATCCGGATTTAGTCGGACCCCAATGCAGATAACTGGACACCGGTTGGGAAATTAAAAAAAAGAACAAAAAGTTATCAAAAAAAAAGTAAAGCAGAAAGCTAATGACCAATAGTTAGCTTACATGTCATTCATTCTTTGCCAATTTGTTTTCAGAGATAAAGCCTTCAATCTTCATGTGTGCTTGTTATGACTACTTGTTTTGTTTGATGCTCATACAATGCATACAGGTTTCTTTATTGTAATGTTCTGATTCAAATATTGCTCCAAGTGGAAATTGAAGACTTTTTATGTGCAGGTGCTTTTTCAAAATGACTCTCCTGCCACATTACTTGCTAGGGTGATTGGTATTATAGGTCCCATTGACCAAGATTTGCTTGTTAAAGGACGAGATACTTATAAGTACTTCACCAAAAATCATATGCTGTATGAACGAAATCAGGTAAACTCTCTCTCCTCTGTGTGGGTTGGGTTACGGTTCAGTGATTTACTATATCTTGTATCCTCTCCGGTGACTCACCTTCAGAAGATCAATAATTTCTGTTTTATTGAAGGCAAATTTTTTATCTTGCTAAAAGTTGATTTGGTGATTAGATATACAAGTCTGGAACAATATATATTAATCGTCCAGAGAGGCCATTTGTCCTTTCTTCAAATTCTTTATCCTCTTAATGAGTTGGTGAATGGTGATTTCATACTTGTACAAAAGACTCCCATTAGTAGAGCCTAGAGGGCAACACTTGAATGTTTTCTGCTGTTGTGTTGCTCTATCTGTCTGCTGCTCTCTAATATCAATTATTGATTTCAATTCTTTCATTTTTTAGGAAACAAACAGATTGGAATGCTTGATACCCAAAAAGACATCCTTGAGACATCGTTTACCAATGGGGGATCAAGGATTTATAGACTTTGTGGCTCATCTCCTTGAAGTAAACCCAAAGAAGCGTCCATCTGCCTTGGAGGCTTTAAAACATCCATGGCTGTCATATCCATACGAACCAATATCATCTTGAGCTGTATCAGAATTCTTTGGCATTTTAACCTGCTGAAGCTCTGCAATTGCTCCAATTTGGATGCTCCAGTGATGAGATAGGAAGGATATCTCCAAGGTGGTCCGCGTTTCCTTCCAAATCACTGAGCTGTATTTCTATTTTAACCCAACTGAGAATGTAGTCTTTGCAAATGTTAATGTAACACTAGGGTTTTCTGTCTTGTTTGATGGAAGGGGATGCATGTTGTTTGTACATGGTGTGTGTTGATTCTTTTAGGTGATTAGTGATAGCTTGTGAAATAGCTGTTTATCCAATTTTGGTTGCCTTCTCCCTCATTTGCAGCAATGTATCAAATGAAGGAAGATCAGAAACATATATTTTCACGTCTGACATTTTCATCGATGGTCATAATGCAAAATTCCACTTGATGAATTATTTGTTTTCCGCGAGTTCTTTATTCCAATGCCGCCTCCCCCCTCTCTCTGCAGCAATGCTATGTCGCTGCAAAGATAATATTTGATCATCGCACAAGGCGTTTCTGAGCACATTACAGTGGTATAACATGAGTTGCTAGAATGGTAATGTTTTGATAGATGATTCTGAGCTATTGTTTTAAGTGTTGCAAATTTAAGGCAAGGAAACGTGTATCAATTGCTTGCTTAACTCGAATAACAATTGTTATATATGTTACCAGTATATTACTGAAATGGTCGCAGTTCAAGATAAGTTAACAAACATTGATCTCGATTCTCGATGATATAATTTGAATAGAAGAAAATAATTTGAATTAACATATTAGTATAAATATTTACGTCATTATTCGCAGGACTTCGGGGTTTATTAGCACATTTTCAGTAATATGATGACTTCCATTGGACATTTTTTAAAAAAAATACGGGGTTTATATATATTTTTACTTTTTGAGAAAATTAGATTAAAGCCCAGGGAATGGAGAAGATGGAAACAGAAATCGCCATGGAAGAAATTGAAGAAGAAGCACCGAAAAATTCATCGTTGTTTCCCGTTTTCCCTCAAGCGCAGATATCTTCAGCGTCCAATCCCACCACTTCATACGACGCCGTTCCTGAATGGCTTCGCAATTCCAGCTTCACCACCGACATCTCCGTGATAAACGACGCCGTTATGACGGACTACGGGAATGTCCAGTTCCAAGAGAATCTAGAGGAAGACGAAGGAGAAGATGTAGAGAACAAAAATCAGAAAGGAGAGGGTGCACCGTATGAATTGCTGCACTCGTCCGGGTCGGAGCGGGGACACTCGTCTTCTGATGATGATGGAAGAGACTGCAAGAAGAAGAAGCGGAAAAAGAAGCGCAAGAAGAGTCATCGATCGAGTGATGACCGTCCACTCTATGACTATGCACTTTCTGCTTCCAGAAAACCGGACGTTCGAACTTGGGCTTCTTCAACTGCTGCTAATGTTAAAGACTATTACTTTGACTCTCGTGGCGATCGAGACAATTTAGCTTTTGGTAGTATCTACAGGTGCGCCTGATGCCTTTTTCTTTTTTTCCTTCCTTATTGTTATGTAGAACTAGTAAATAGAAATAAGAGTCGTGATGGAATTTGCTTGATTTTCCATTGTTACTGATTTGATTTGTCAGCTGTCAAGAAAATATAAAACAAACTACACAGCATTGAAACTCATTGGTTGATAATGATTGCCGCGGTTAGTGGCGGGAACATAAAGATACTTGAAAATGTTGAGAAGTTACACATTGCATTCTTTTACACCTTTTTTATTTCTTGGAGAAGTATAACAAGTAAACAGGAATGAGTTGCACAGGCACTGTAATTTGTGTTAGTTCTTAGGTTGATTTACTTTACTTTATTAACTGTAGAATCTTCTGTTGTACTGTAGGATGGATGTTGCTCGTTACAAGCTTCATAATTTGAGGAAGACCTCTGAGATCAATAACTATAGGCGGAACGATAAGAGAAATTTTGAAAGGGATATTGATATTGATGCGTTGGATGATAAACTAAGGTCTGGAGGTCGCTATTGGTCTGGGACATATGCTGCAATTGAGCACCATAAGAACCTGAAGCGTCTAAAAATTTTGACTCCTCACAAGCCAATGATGAATATTCCAGCTGATTTTGTCTCATTGGCAGATGAAGTTAAGTCAGATGAAGGAATCAGAGGAGATGCTATTTCAGGAAATGCTGTGGTCGAGGAATCTCTGGAGGATGAGGTCTATCGCAAAACAAAGGAATTCAACAAGATGACAAGAGAACGGCCACATGATGAACAAATTTGGTTGGCTTTTGCACAGTTCCAAGATAAGGTAGCAAGTATGCAGCCACAGAAAGGTGCCCGTTTGCAAACACTCGAAAAGAAGATTAGTATTCTGGAGAAGGCTACAGAGCTGAACCCTGACAGCGAGGACCTGCTTCTCTCTCTTATGAGTGCTTATCAGAGCAGAGATAGCATTGATGACCTGATTAGCCGATGGGAAAAGATACTTATCCAAAATTCAGGTAGTTGCACATTGTGGAGAGAATTTTTGCGGGTTGTTCAGGGTGACTTCTCAAGATTTAAGGTTTCTGAAATGAGAAAAATGTATGCAAATGCAATTCAAGCTTTATCTGGTGCATGGACTAAGCAGCATAGGCAGGTTCTCATCTTTTACATACAATGCTTTCTTTTTTGTGCATAAGATATATATTAATTTGAACATACAGTGCTTTCAAAAGCAAAAACCGCAGAAACTGGCAAGGTTCATGAGGTTTGAAGCAAAGCGTACGCTTCTTTGAAGTGAAGCGCACAATTTACAGAACCCTAAACGTAACATATATTGATTTGGTACAACAATTAACTTTTTCTATTAAATAACCAATTTCAACAACCAAAGTACGATGATGCCGACACATATCAACCTCTCGGAATTGAGATTCAGAGTCGTCTGCTTCTCATTTGGATCACTTTGCCCGTCATTGTTTGACGCACATGGCTTCAACCATGAGGCGAAATCCCTTGCTTTGCATCATGCATCACTCTTAGTAGCAGATGACTTTTAACTATACTAGAACCTACAGATTTCCAGTTTGACACAGTTCTGGAAATTTGATCCTTGAACCTGCTGGATGCTTCTGAAACTTTTTTTATTCTTACGCAATGTAAATGATAAAAGCCGATTTTGCCTTATGTGTCAGTAGAGTTATGGGAAACTGCATAATAATATATGTGCTTGGCAGTGGTTCTTGAATGGGAAGTTGTGTCCTGAGAGCACCTTCTCTGGACTCTGTGGAGAGATGGTCTATTGGAGTTGTTATGAAGGATAATTCCATGGAGTTGTTGGGGAAGGGTAGGGATTCTGAAAGTAGTGGGTAGTAGCTCCAGGAGGAACTTGGCAAGGACTAGCTCAAGAAATATTGGCGTATACATTCCTAGAACTTCCCTAATCTTTGGTCACTGAAGTTGGACAATAGTGAAAGATTTCCAAATAGGAAGCTGACGAAGTGAGGCCCTTGAATAGCTCAAGGGTGAAACTGTATGATCATTACTGGATTTAATCATGTCATGTATAACCAGAGTATTGGATTGATTATTTTTAAAGAGAAAACCTTACTATAGGTGCAGCACTACCTCGTAAAAATGGAAGTTTGCATTGATCTCATGAGCATCTGTGCTGTAACTTTCCACTGTTATATTTTGTAAATAATTGTAAAGCAATTTGCATAACTTGGATGAAATTATTAAGAACTACAACAACGACAACAACATGCCCAGTGTGATCCCACAGGCGGGTCGTAGGGTGTATGCAGATCTTTCCCCTAATCCTTTAAATTATGCATGTCATTCTCTTTATATTGCTTTATGATTTTTTTTGAAATGCTAGTAGTTTATTTTTTTGAAATAGTTGTATTGCTTTATGATTTGGCACTGAGGTGTAACAGTTGTAATTCTTCTCTCTTGATTTTATGTATGTGAAATCTTGCAGAGTCTTTTAAATATTTCATCTTAGGTTAGCACATGCTTTGATGCAAGAGTTCAGATAAATGACAAATAAATTCATCCTGATCTTTTTCGTTACCCTTTGATTTGCTGATGGAGATATCTTTGTTGGATACAGGTTTCTGGAGGTGCTAATTCGCCTTCTATGGATCCTGCTATTGTAAGACTTGAACTTGGTCTGGTTGATACATTTCTCAGTCTCTGTCGGTTCGAGTGGCAGGCTGGGTACAGAGAGTTGGCTACTGCCTTGTTTCAGGCACAGATTGAATACAGCTTGTTCTCCCCTTCTTTACTTCTTAGTGAGCAAAGTAAGCAAAGATTATTTGAGCATTTCTGGAACAGTAATGGTGCCAGGGTTGGGGAAGATGGGGCACTCGGCTGGTCAAAGTGGCTAGAGAAAGAGGAAGAGCTGAGGCAAAGGGCTATGAGGGAGGAGTCTTCACATGCTTCTGAAAAGGGTGGTTGGACTGGTTGGTCAGAACCGTCATCTAAAGGTAAAGAAAAGAATGAAGCTATAGAAAATATAACAGAGACTGATGGTGCTCTTGACGAGTTAGAAGAGGAATCTGAAATGAAAGATGATGAGCAGAAAGATGATACTGAAGCTTTGCTTAAAATGCTTGGTATTGATGCTACTGCTGAAGCTAATTGTGAGATTAAAGACACAAGAACTTGGACTAGGTGGTCTGAAGAAGAGGTAGCAAGAGACTCTAACGAGTGGATGCCAGTCCATGCTAAAAGTAATCCTCTTTCTCCCTACCCGTCTTTATTCCACTCCTTCATTTCCTAATTAAGTATAAAAGCACTTTTTGGGACGAAATATTAAGTGAATGAATTGCATGAAGAGAGGCCATCATTGACTAATTCAGTGAAAATTAACAAACTAAGATACTGTCTGAACAGAGAAATATCAAAGGGTGATCATTTTTTGAGAATAGTTACTGTTGTTTTCCTCAGCATTTAGGATTTTTAGGATTAAATGCTGGAGACCTTCCAAAAAGAACATAAAGTATAAAAACTTAAAAGAAACAGATTTACAGAGCTCCTAACAAGTCTACAAGATCTTCTACTTCCTCAATTCATTGCTCTTTACACCAAATATAGAAAGATATAGTACAATTGCATTTCAGTAAGTATAGATCTTGAACTGACCGATCAAAGTATCAATGGACTGAGTGTGTTTTCAAGTGATGAATTGCAGCCTATCTCATTTTTCTCTTCTCGCATCAGCATCTGTTGTCTGAGCCTCAGAGGTAGTGAACTAATTCGTGAAGTACTTATGTTTAACAGCTGGGATTTCTCATAGTGAGGATCCTGCTGATGCAGAGGGTGATGAGCAGCTTTTGAGAGTAATAGCATACGAAGATTTGAGTGACTACCTGTTCTCGATAATTTCTGAAGAAGCATGTTTTTCCTTGGTATCCCAGTTCATTGATTTTTATGGTGGGAGGATGGCTCAATGGTTCGTTTCTTATCTTGAATATTATATTGACTTCTCTAGTGATCACATTGATTTTACTAGATATTAGTCATACATGTCATATTGCTGGCCTTAAAGAAATGCAGAGGTCCATGTACATTTTGGAAAATTTAATGGTTGAATATCTATTTACTGTGTGAATGTATCTGGATAGGGGTGGTGTTTTTCTATCGTACTTTGGAAGGATCTCATATTTTATCTTTTAACTCTGAGAACCAAGCTTAACTGTCACATTTACAATTATGGTTGAATGATGCTATCTGGATTCAGCTTGGTTCCTGGACAGAGTCTTGAGCTTGCTGCGACTTGGTGAGCCTGAACTTTCGGCACTTGTGCTCAACTAGCTAGGATCATCCTTTTATGTCCTTATACTTTTTCCTCCTGGAAGCAGCAATAAATTGTTATGTACCAACTGTTTTAAATCTTACTCTCTAGCATGGGATACCGGATAGTTAATGTTTTCCTCAAGAATATAAAGCACAGTATTTTGGTCAAAACCCTGAATCTCCTGCTCCTTTTCAGTTTTGAAAGGAAGCAGTCATTATCGAAGTTGATATTATATGCAGAAATATGGGTTTTGGATAGTTCTATGAACTTTTTAGGCTTAAGTTTAGTTTCTTTCCCTCTCTCTATAAGTCTCTGGAGTAATCGATTTTCATTTAGAGGCAAAGGGAACCTAGATGGAGAATAGGAAGTTTCTTAATATTCACATTCTGATAATTGTTTCCAAATTGCAGTCTGCAATATGAAATCAAGGATTCCGAGAGGATAGCCAGCTATGACTAGGAGAAGGATCCACTAAAAACTTGATGCTTAAAAAATGTTTTTTCCCAGTGACATTCAATTAGGTTTTCCTTTTTCTTGGTTGCTGAGAGTGAATTATTTTTTCATTGATAATTAAAGAATTGCTGAGGGTTAGTTGTAAGTCACAGACTCTGATATTTTAGTTTCTCTATCATTTCAAAAGATATTGTTTGATATTTTGCTTCTCTGTATTACTGTGGCTCTTTTTCTTTGACGAAGGATGCTATTAATTGAGGGAAGCCACATGGAGGTGCTTGGTAAACTAGCACAGGGAAGAAACGAAACAAGAGGAGCATAATTAGTTGTATGTAACTTACTTTCTTTTAATGCGTGCAGGACTTGTACGAACAGTTCAAGTTGGGCTGAAAAATACCTTAGTTTGGAGGCAATTCCAGATTCTCTCTTTGATGAACTAAGAAGAATGCACAATGTTTTAACCAAGGAAGGAAGGAACCGAACTGAAACAAGTTTGGAACAAGTTCTTAGCAGCTCTGGTGATATCTCTATGAGGACTAGCATGATGAGATTTATTCGAAATGCTACATTGCTTTGCTGCACTATATTTCCCCAAAATCATATTTTGGAAGAAGCTGTTCTTATTGCGGAGGAGCTATCAAAGACAGTGATGAATACTTCTAGCTGTTCAGTAACACCATGTCGAACTTTAGCAAAAAGCCTTTTGAAGAGTAACCGTCAGGTATATCTTTTAACTTTTATATGTCTTGCTGGTCAAGCATTCTGTGTATGTGGTATATTCACTTGATTTTTAAACATTAGAGTGCATGTCATCAATGTTTCATATCGCCAGTGACTTTTAATAAAATAATTGCTTAGCAAATAAATTTAAACGTAATTTTAACAACAAAGAAATGGGAACTCACTTGTGAAGGACTCACTTTTAGTGGTACTGAGACTGTCTATACCACTACCCTTTATCAAGCTCGTTTACAAGAGTTCTGGCTTTCCCAACCGCAAAACTTCTAGGAAATAAAATTTCTTTCCCCGATTATATTTTATATATATGCGGTCGTAACTTTGCTACACTTACTTCCACTAGCAAGAAAACTTCTGCTCATAACATACCCCTCTCCGTGGTTGCATGAAATTGTTGTGTAAAAACATTGATGCACAAATAGTGGTCCCATTAGCGACAACAGCTCATTAAGGTCTCGTAAGTCCTCATTAAATAGGTGCTTGTTTGTTTAACTGAGGTGTCAGCTTTTCTCCCTTTCGTTTTGTTTTCTTTCTTTAAAGCTGGACAGTAAATCATCTGTAATTTTTATGGTCTTCTGTCAATTCCTTTAAACTTTAGGTTGGAGATTGATCAGGATCTCATGTGATAGTTTACCTTACTGCTTTATTAGGTGCTAAGAGGTGGTAACATTGTGATAGCCTGATAAGTGAAAGACTTGATACTGATTTGTATCCTCTCTCTTGGCCCCTGCCTCTCCCAAGGATTATCATTTTCTTTCCTTTGCTTTTCATTTGTCCCTGTTCACCACAAAATTCTTTTTTAAAAAAAATTTGTGTTGCCAGTAAATTGTATTATATTTTTTGTGCTTCTGATGTCTTTGTTGGATTTAAGCGTTTAGGTGAAAGCTACGTGTTTGTCTTTTACATTTTTGTTCTTATAGGATGTATTGCTTTGTGGAGTTTATGCACGACGGGAAGCAGTTTTTGGAAATATTGACCATGCTAGAAAGATTTTCGACATGGCATTGTCTTCTATTGATGGACTTCCACAGGTGCATTCTATTTCCTATTTGACTTGATATTGACATGGTATCCCTTCATTGGAAGAGGTGTCTTTTCAACCTGCACTGTGGTTCTGTAAGAGGCAGTCTTCTAATGCTCAAATCACCATTTCCTTCACTATGAAATAAGGTTATCCTAGCCCACACTTTCTCAGGGAATCTCAGTCGGTTATTAGTCTTAGTTCTTGCTGGTTAAATTTTCCATAGCTTCCTATATATTGTTTTTGTCATTTGATGTTGTTATATTTCTATATTTTATTGAATATTACCAGTTTAAAAAAAAATACTTTATTTTATTGAATTAGCAGGGTGTTCAGACAAATGCATCTCTTTTACATCTCTGGTACGCTGAAGTGGAGGTCTCAAACGGTATTCATGGTGGTTCCGGATCGTCTGAATCGTCTTTACGTGCTATGCATATTTTATCTTGCTTGGGTAGTGGTACAAAATACAGTCTGTATAGATGTAAACCTTCAAGCCTGCAACAGCTGAAAGCACGCCAAGGATTCAAAGAACAAGTGAATATGCTACGTTCATCATGGACACGCGGTTTAATTGATGATAATTCAGTTGCTCTCATATGTTCAGCTGCTTTATTTGAAGAAATAACAATTGGATGGACTGAAGGTGTTCAGATTTTAGAGCAAGCATTCACAATGGTGCTTCCTGGTATTCAGCTTTTTCACTGCTCACCATTTTTTCCTTTTTAAACCAGAAAGTTTGTGTCCTTCAGATCTTGCTGTAGATAACTGCACATGTTTGCTTGTTGGTTTAAGATTGCTTGGAATTGAGATGTCGTCCCTTGTTTTATTTTATAATGCAATTGCCCTTCACTTAATAATAACAATTTTTATGAGAATAAATTGTTACTTACTGCAGATGGAAGTGCTGGAACTTTCCATTTGTATCTTATTTAAGTATTTGTATGATAAAATTAGTTGTCTTCATAATAATTGAAGATACATCTTATCTCTTAATGAAGACAGTGGGGACGTCTTATTGTTTCAACCTTTTATTCGTATTATCTTTTTGAGAAAAGATGTCTTTTGCAATATTGAGAAGAAATATTGTTCGTTGTGTTAAAACTTTCGAGTTGTTTCTTTACCTTCCACAAAACTAGCTTTAAGGTTGTTGAAATAGACAAGGAAAATATAAGTCATGTCATAACGTTTATGTGTAGGTTGAACTAAATTCTCTTTAATTTGATTTTTCGAGCATTGTTTTTTATACCCTCAGTTCTGCCTCTCTTAAGCTATTGCACAATCCATTTTTTCTTAAAAGAAATGGTCTTACCTAAAGAATTTTTAATGGTAATTTGTGTTCTTTAGTGATACTAAGGGTAAATGTGAAGTTCCATTAAGGCTGAACTACGTTCTTTGTGATTCTAGATCTTCATGTCTCCATATTTGTTTTCTATATTGTTTCCCATTGCTCCACTTCATGATTAGTATTAATGCTTGAACATTTTGTGTGCCATTATTTTGTCATATCACATATGATGGTTAATATATTTTTGTAATTGGCACTTGAATGAATAATAGTATATTACTATGAGTATTGCTTCTTGTTGCCCTTCTCTAAAAATTGTTTTTTTTTTTAAAAAAAAATAATTAACTAAGTAGCCACTTCATCATTTCCTTGCTTCACAGACAGAAGCTACCACTTCATTCACTTCGCATCTAATCACCCTCCAGAAGCACTGAATCCTCGCCTCACTCTTGCTTTTAACACACACTCACACTAGCACTCTCTTTTTTTTCAACTTACAGTTCCAGGAGAATTCTTTCCTTAATCAAAGAAAGAACTAGTTAAATCTGTCTTATTTAACTTGTCTGATTTGTGTATCTGAAGAAGTGGAAACCAAGGAAAAGACAAATTTGATTTGGTTCATATGCTATTTAGATCAGGGGGCTGTTATCTTTCAGATTGTGATCATGGAAAGTATCTGTAATTAGATTCTCAAGCCACTGGTGTAATATTTGTCTGGAACCAAATGAATTTTTCTCATCTGGTTTTGCGTAAGAGGTCTTCAGTATAGATGTTAGTTGGATACAAGTCCACTATTTGAAGTATTTATATATATATTTAGATTATTCTCAAATAGAGTAGGAGTTAGGACTATACTCAACATGGCCGGTCTGAAATTTGAATTTTATAGGTTTGATTTTTGAGTTTAGAATTCTACCACAATTCAATTGATTTGCTGGGTTCAAAATCAATTATTTCTACTTGTGTTAATTTAACACATATACAAGGTCCGGAAACCTGAGATCTTGGGTTCAGACAAACCCATAATTTACACTCTACATCCACCCCTGATATTCAATGCGATGAAACTCCATCAGTAATACTAAAGAGTTCATGACTTAACATGTTATATATATCCATGTCAGTAGATGAGTTTAGATAGTTGATGAGAGGGGAGGTATAGCTGAATTATTCCTTCATTTATTTGTAAATACTACAAAAAACTAAAACTTGAACTGGCAGTAGTAACTACATGTAAATCCTCATAGATACATGTAAGATCAGTTAAGTTATCCTTGTTGGACATAGTACATACCATTCTGTAGTTTGGTGGTGAGAATATAATGAACTTCTCTAACTGAAAAACTTAAGCTTTTTTCACACATTTCAACACGGTAGAGGTCCTGGTATCGAATCTCACCCTCGCCCATATCAAAAAGAATTTCCATGTGCTTGATCCATGGAAAAGAATTAGGCCCGCTCGTGAGAGGGTGTGTTTGGAATATAATTAACTAATAAAAGTGATGTTTTCTCTAACAACTTAAGCTTTTAAATGAGATGGTCGCACGCTTCAACATTTGGAATTCCTCTCCTCCACACCTTCACTCTGAAAAATTATAGAAGTCTATGCTATTTGTATATTTGTTTTTGTTTTTATATAACATAGACAATGTGCTGTTTGTTAATCTTTTTCCAATAAAATTGTGTTATGAATTGGTAATTTATGTACTTCAATCTGATAGATCTCTTTTTTTGATGGAATATTATCACCTTATTGATGGTTACTGCAATGACCTTACTGTAGAAAGGAGGCGGCACAGTCATCATTTGGAGTGTTTGTTCAACTTTTACATGAGGATGCTTTGCAGACATCATCAAGAAATGAAGCTGTCAAAATTATGGGAATATATAGTGACAGGACTGGATATATATCCATGCAGTCCGAATCTTTATAATGCATTAGTCGAAATTGGCCATCTCTATGCGTCACCTAATAAGCTACGGTGGATCTTTGATGAGAAATTCCAAAAGTATGACCTTCTAAACCTTTTCCTCCAGTTCTCTGTGACATACAGTAGTCACAGTCAAAAATCTTTCACATATGCTAACTTTGATCACTATGCTAATTTTTATTACTTCAATGTTGTTTTAATAGCTTCAAAGGGTCTAGGAATTTTATATGTGCTAGTAAGACCATTATGTTGTCTATAGTTAATTATTAAGAAAACTCACGTTGAAAAGGAATTTGGTCCCAAAATGCTTTAATAGGAAATTATGTTTGCTGGTGGTGCCTGTAAGATTTAGAAATATTTAGATCCCCCTATGGCTTTCTTATAGTGGTAAGAGTGTAGTGCTTGATGTGTGGGTTTAGGCGCACGTCACGTGTTCGATGTTGCCACAAACAATTCCTGGTATTTAAGTGAGAAGGGCAGATTGTTGGGCCCATCATCCATATAGTCTTGAACCATGCACCACTGTATCTTCAGAGACTTCTAGTTATCGAAGCAAATATTGATACTTTATTTCAATAACACTATCAGTCTATCCTCAATATCAAACTAGGTGTGGTCGGCCATGTGAAATTTTGATGCTCTAAGGACTTCTCAACAAGTTCTCTTAGTTGATTTTGTAACTCCCTCTCTTCCAAAAAGAATGACATTATTTCCTTTTTAGTTCGTTTGAAAAGAATTGACTCCTTTCTAAATTTGGAAATAATTTAATTTGAACTTCTTGTTTTACCCTTAATGACAAGTTTTTATATTCACACAAATGTTGTGACATGTTTGAGACCTCAAGTTATAAATTGTTTTAGCTGCACAAATGTTATGACATGGTCAAACCACAAGTCCAAAAGTCTTTCTTGAACTCCATGCCCGTTCAAACTACAACATATTAATGGAATTTATAGAAACGGAGGGAGTACTACTTTTTAGGCGGATAAGTTTGCAATCTGGCTTTCAAAATGCATAGAATATATGTGTTTTTATGTCTGAGTGCTTCTTAAAAGATCTTTTTGCGAAGTTGGTCTATTTGGCAGGTTTTTGGAAATGAAAAGCTATGCCAAGCATGTATTATAGAAGGTCTCCAATGTCAAGTGTTCTGCCTATTTCTTTTTAGAGAGGCTTTTAATGGACAATTAGATTTAAGTTTCAATCCCCCACCCCCAATCAGTCAGGTCAAAAATGAAATAAAAGAAATAGGATGACACCTTTTTGATGGTACTATAGACTCTCTCATGGTTGCATTTGAAATCTATTCGTTTGAATCAGCATGCAGAAACAATATATATCTGACGTGCAGCTGTTTAAAGCTGTCTTTATAGTTTTCCATCTTTCAAAGATTTAAGTCTCTGTTTCTTGTGTCCTTTGCTTTAACTTCCAGGAAACCTTCACTTGTTGCTTGGCTCTTTGCATTATCATTTGACATGAGTAGAGGTGGTACAGAGCATAGAATACGCAGACTTTTTGAGAGGGCATTGGAGAATGAGAAGCTACGCAACTCAGTTTTAGTCTGGCGCTCGTATATTGCTTATGAAAGTGACATAGCATGCAACCCTTCTGCAGCTAGAAGAGCTTTCTTTCGAGCCATACATGCTTGCCCGTGGTGAGTATATGTCTGTAATGTGCTGTAACAGTGAAGTTAAAGCAGGATAAAAAATACCATAATATTAAAGGGTAGTTTGCGACCCAGACAGATTCAACAATCAGTTAATTTATTGCTGTGTTCTCTAATAACGTCATTTCTGTTGCTCAAAATTTGCTTAGGTCAAAACGGCTCTGGCTTGATGGCTTCATCAAGTTAAGTTCTTTTCTAACAGCGAAAGAGTTGTCGGATCTCCAGGAAGTAATGCGGGATAAAGAACTCAATTTGAGGACAGATATTTATGAAATACTACTGCAAGATGATGTTGAATCTTAAGTTATGAAATCAAGATTTCTTGAGTTGTGGATGGGTAACATGCCCGTCATATGACACACTCATGTTCTGCCACATGCCTTTTTTCAGTGCGAAACTTTGAAGCACCTCGTCTTGGTTCATTTTGGATAATGCTGTAAGTGTGCCTTTGCTCGTAGTATACGCTGATTACTGTTGAGTTGTGAGTGGAAAGAAAGATTTCTTTTTGGTGAAAACAGAAAAATGTACATTACTCGTGCCGTTAGTTGTATGACAGCTTGGTGCTGCCTTTTGTGCAATGATTTTATCATATTAAATCAGTTGCTAATAGTGGTACATTTGTAACTTGCTAAGTACATGGTTGTGGTGTTAGCTCCACTTTGGTAATATGTTCCAATGTTGTACAACAAAAGAAGAATTGATCAAAAAGAGGAGAAATTTTTCTTTGAGGAAACGTATCTGTCCTTTCCCTTCACTGAGTAATTGTCTCTACGTTGCATTTTGTACTTTCACCTTTTCTCTTCTTTTTCAACAACACCGTCATTATTATTGTCAAAATGCAGTTCGTCTTTACCTCCCCTTTTGATAGTGATCTTTAATGTTTCAATGAACTGCCTTGTTTTTTTTCCTCAGAAATGTTGACTCATGAACTTCTCGAGTGGCACTACCGAAAGGCCATCAATGTGGTTATTATTATGTTATGCAGTGAAAAAGACACCCAACCATCCTTAAAAGAAAGCAAACTTTGCATCGCACCACAATTATGTGAGCCTCTGCGTTTCGTTCATTACCACAGCAGTATTTATAGGTGTACACACTTCAGTAGTAAAATGTACACTTGGAAAGCCATGGTCACATATTCTTCGATTCAAGTCTTACCAATCTTGCATCCTCAATATCTTGAATTGATTGATCTGATTTCGTGTTGCATGATATGATATAGGTTATGTTATATTACAGTAGGAGGTTTTCTGCCAGACACCATGGGATTGGAGAGGTTAAATGTTCGTTCTAGTTTCATCTGGCTTCAGGACCGCACAGACCTCAAAGTCAGTGGGAAGTTTAAACAGGATACCCCAATCGCTGAAATAAATGTATATCTGGGAACTTGATTACAATGATCAACCGTTAAATTACAATCAAAATACACCCATGACAACTTGTCGGCAACTGCTGGGAAAATGTTCAATTCACTCAGGTTTCTTCATCGACGTGAAATCTTCTGTCATTTCTGTGACTTTCAAATACAGGCTTGACCATCTTTTGAGCTCAGTTACATATTTGAAACATGCAGACGACAATCCTATACACTTAAATTTCCTCATCCTCAAAAGGATCTTTTTCTGGATAGTCTCCAATCTGCAATACAAAGATAAAGAGTCTATGTTAAAAGGACAGATTTACTGTAATTTACAACACTACCCTAAAATGATTTCACCTTTTCATTCCTAAACATTTATTAGGGGATGCAGTCGTTTTCCAGTAAGTATTTCTAATTTCTTGTCTAGTTTATGAAAATGAAATTTCAAATTTTTTTTGCCCAGATTGATTAAAGTCAAATACTCACTCTGTTCTATCACAAAACTCTAGTTAATGTTATTGCCTAATCTATTAATAATCAGAGGAGCTACATCCCGTTTTTGACTTTAGTGTCCTGTGCCTGCCTGAACAGACTAGTCTAGCTTCCTCGTTTTATACATCTTTCAAAGCGCACTGAAGTTGAATGTTTGTTCACCACTCTTTCACATCTCCAAATTCTTATGTCATGATTCATGGATGCTCCTAAATCAAGAAACTATACTTTTGAAGGTAATAAGCGTGAATATATTCATCTTAGGAAGGGTAGAACTGTGTCTCATTTTAACCCAAAGCATGAAACCTGGCAAGTTTATTAGGGCATTGAAATTATGACAAAGATACCACTTGTACAAACCTTTACTTTGTCTGGTCGGACCATTGCACCATGAAGGGGAGGACAGTCAAAGTAACGTTTCCCTTTAACCCTGAGAAAAAATGAGAATAATTTGGTTTAGCTGTAGTAATTACTATAGACACCTTGAGACAGTCTTTCAAATGTAACATTTCTTCAGAAGTAAAATTGCAAGTATGGAGTAAGAAATCAGAGTCAAAAAAGAATTGTCACAAGGCAAAAATTTCTAGGAAAAAGGACTCTGCAGCAAGGTAACTTTCAGAAGCCTCTGGCCAAGTATTGTACTGTATAGTGCAGCAGAGCAGAGATCATTTGTTACTTAGAATTACGTGAGTTCCATATGCCTTGTTACCTATCAATCATGTCCTATATTTCAAAATTCCAATTTTCCGTTTGATAAATTATTTTCTTCTCATAAAATGAAACTTATCCTGGCCCCTAGTGGAATTTTGCACCATCCGTTCTTTGGCAGTAACTCTAACTTATAACCCTGTTGGAACTATTGAGCTATTCCATTTCTCTAGATTCTCTAGCATCCAAATAGTTCAAATACAACACTGTTTTCTTCCTTTTTTTTTTCTAATTAATTACGTTAACGCATATAACAATAGCTAGTACACCATTACCTACTCCCTACCCCCACCACCCCACCCCACCACCACAAGAAGAGGAGACAGTCACATTTCACCAATTTTGGAACATCAAATGTGTACAGCTAATTGATTAACTATTTAGTTAGACCTGGAGAAGAAACCTACATGGTGCAGTTGGAGAACAGGATAGCAAACACTAGATTGCGTTTGGCCATAAAAGAAGGAACAGGTATCTAGTTTATTATCTAAAATTACCTTCAAAATAATTAATGCAACTAAAAATAGATTAAGCTGGTAAATGCAAGGACTGAAACTGTAAGTCATCATCAATATACATTGAATACACAAGTAGTAACTATAATTACTAAATGAATATAGCACCAACCATTAAACAGGAACCATGGATCAAGGATTTGTAACAAGAAATTTAAAACTTGGGCAATAAAATTAATTTCAGACTATAAAAAGCACCAATGGTGAAGAGCTAGCTCACACATATTCTACAGTTCAAAGTGGGACATCTTGACATGGAAATTTTTTATAAATTAAGGTTTGGGTCAAACGAGCCAATACAAGGTCTCTCCTTAGTGGAGTCCATGTGATCCTTCACTGGGAGGCAACTAAGTCATTCAAAAAAGACCTGAATAGCACATGCTTCCTCAAAGAAAAAACTCTCCTGCTAGTAAGCGCTAGTAGAATATATGTATTGCTACTTCAATCTAAGATTTTAAATGAGAAGTTTGTGTTACTGACGTACATGCCATCATGTTTTCCTACTGGTTCATCAAACTGAACTCCAACCCAAAACCCAGGTGCAAGTGTTTCTGCCTGACCAACAAATTTGACCATGCCTCTTCTCTCTCCAGGTTCAACTTCACATCTGTCCCCTATCTGCTTTCATGAAGAAAACAAAAATGGTATTCAAACAAGTTAACAATAACACTAAACTATTATTATTCTGGGCCAGGAAAAGTAAACTTGAAGAGAAAAAAATAAAGAAAGAAGTACTGAGAAGAACACAACTACTGCACCTCACTACAAAAAAAGAAAAGGGGAAGAGAGAAACAGAAAGGAAAAGGAGAAATTTTAACAAATTTAACAATTAAAGAACCTATTCAAGCTTATTATGAACTAAAACTTTGAAGGGTAGGTTCAAAAGATAGTTGGTTGTCGCCTTATATAAATCATGACAGAACCAAAAGTCGGCCATAGTTGGCTGGTATCACTCATTTGGAACATTGAAACCAAATTAGTATACTTTTCTCTTACAAATAGTTTGTAACATGTGTGACAGGTTGTCGCACAAATTAATATATTGACAACCTACTATCAAGTATCAGCAATGACAACTGAAATGAAAGGAGAAGCTTACTAGAGATTATGTATCTTCAAGCTTGTTTATCTTTTCTAATTTACTTTGGAGGAGCTTTTCGTCGTAGAAAAATACACTGTCATAAATTGTTTTAAAGGTCGTATGGAGACAGGGAATTAATTTGTCTATATAGTTAAGTCAAGTATTTAATTTTGTTTATCAGCACACAAACTCTCTGTTACAGCAACAGTAGTGTATACATAAATGTACATAAGTAATCCTCAATTACTGTATAATTAAAAGGTTCATGTGAGAAGACTGAAGTATGGTCAAGGATGTATTAATACTTTAATATAATTATGCAATAGACATAATAAGAAGTTGGAAAGGGAACTGCAAAAAAGATAGATCAACTAACCTTAATATTTGCGCAAAGATCTTCCCTGTTGTTGTTGTCAGATATCTGTTTGACAAAGCCAGGTGGGGAAATGAATAGAGGTGCAAAATATAGCAATCGTGGCATAAAATTGAGAAGTAAAAAGTTAAGTGATGGGAGATATCCAGTGCCAAAAATCTCTCCTCAAAAGAAGCAACAAGACGAGGAACTAGCTATATTTTAGTGTCAGTGAAGAACGAAATGGAGAAAGAGGGGATTGCATCCTTCATCTTTTTGCCAGAATGGGTAGCAGCAGCGCAGGATATCTGGGAGAGAAAGAATGAAGTGGTGGAAGGGTTGCGAGGCTAGATATTGTCAAGTAAAAGTGGTTGCTCTGAGGATGGATTGGGAGGAAGAGTTCTTTTTATTAGATAAAACAGGGTATTTTATATTGTTGCATCAGGAATATATGTACAGCATGATCTAGCAACTTAGGGACATTACTCTCCACCACGTATTATTGGGAAAATATAATAGGATTGTAGGGTTAATCTGGAGATAAAGTTAAATTTTTCTCAAACAGCATAGCCATTTAAGATCCTAAGCAGTAAGCAATGACATAGTAAATTAGAGGGTAGGTCCACAACGTTGTGTTAAATTTGAGCAGAAGTCGTAAGAATTTTACCTTCATGTTTTATTAACACTTGAATATTACTAGAAAAACTTACTTTAGATTCTTGACCAGGCGGTTGCTTAAGCGGCAATGTTTCCTTGAATTTTCTGAAAGTACCTAGAAAGTCGCAACAAACTTGTCAACGCAAACATCACCAGGAAAATCATTACTATCCAGTCTAGATAAATACAGAGGAAAGTGTAAACAGCGTCTTAAGTTTATGTTTCAGCAGTCAGCTTAACTTTGTTGAGTCATACTATTTAAGATATTTGCTAGTAGGTGATGACGAGTGAAGGTTGCTGCATAGCTGCCTAGATGGGCCTCTAGAAGAAGGAAGACAATACATAGGATGGACATCAAAAATTACCCTGGCATCCATCATGTGGGTCTTGTGTGAGAGAGTAATAACAGAGCTTTTAACTGGTATAAGAAATACTACTGTACGTTAGAGATAAAACCTTTTATTCTCAATTACTTGCTGGTGCACTCTGCATCCATGAAATTCATGTTTGTTTTGAAGATTGGGGCTTGGTGGTAATCAGTAGAAACCACATTATTGTGTAGATTCTGTACTTTTTGGGTATGTTTTATATATGGGAGTATTTCCACATAAGAATTTCTTACTTGATCATGAAAACAAATTATTTGCAAGCATATAGCAGCATTTTGTTTCCTCCAATGAAAAAAGCATAATTTGATGATTAAAGACATACTATATGGAATGGCAAAATTGTTACTTGATGTACTTTCTCTTTCAAATGGAAGAAAAAGATACAATCTCACGGCTACTCTGTTGCATCTCCAAAGAGCATCAGTAAGGATAAAATGTAAGATGAGATTGGATGAAAAAGGAGTCAGAATGCAGAGGAAGGAAATGAAAATCAAAGTCTTGTACATACAAAAATAGAAGAGTAAAATGAGGGCTGTCTTCCTCTTCTTCATCTTACATACAACAAGTGTCATCCACCCATCCTTAATTGAAAGGTGCACAAACTGACGATGGATAAAAAGCACAACCAAATTAACTTCATGAACCATGCAGTTGGTTTCTTACGAGATATGTCAACAAGTCAAAAATGAAAAGTATCTTCTGTAGGTTAAAACGTGATTAATTAGATCGCACTTAGCATCCTAGCCTAATAGCAGAGTAAAAGATGTCTGATTCGACAAAAAAATCTTGCTATAATATATACACTTGGTTGCAGTATGTCACTCCTTCCCGTTTAAACCATGATTGCTAACTTCTCATGTAAAATTATGATGTGCAGATTGACTTTTTTTCATGAAAGGGAAAAAAGAGTAACTTGGGGGAAAGGAAAAACCACTGATGTAAAGAGTATTAGAGTGTTCTGCCCTCAACTTAGGATCACGGGGCAGGAAATTGAAGAAATTTGGGCGAAGATTGACTGTTTTCCAAAGGGTCTGCTTCTCACAGAGTTGTTTTTCAAATATTAGGTCGACACCATTGCCCTCTGATGGGACTTCTGTGATGAGTCAAAACATATTGTCCACTAACAGACCCCAGCCATTTTCCAGGGAGTAAACTGACTTGAAGAGGTATTGCATCCGAGTCAAGGAGAAATCAAATTAGAAAATACATTTGTAAAACAAATAGCCAAGTGAAACTTGTCAACATTTACCTCCGAGTTTCTCATAAGCCTCTTCAGAGATAGTATACTTCTCCACAAGTGATGTGTCCTCGAGCCAACCTCCGGAGGTCACTGACGCTGGATCAAGATCAATGACATGCAGACGATAACTGCAAAGGCAGACTGATTAATCCAAAAATACATGTCCATATTAGTTCAAGTTCTTTCTGCACAAAATGCAGACAGGATATGATACTAATATCTACTTTAAAGAGTTAGTTATCCAGAAAACGATAATTATAATGTAATAAGTCCTCAGACCAAAAGAGTTTTACTAACCCATCCAGTGGGGAATAAAAACCAAGTGGTCTTGCATTATCACTTAGGACTGAGATTTTAGTTCCAGTTTCGTCATATAGCTCTAAGGACATCGAATTGACTGAAGTACCACACTTTTTCCAAAGCTTATCTTTCACGGCTTCCACTGACATCTGAAAACAAATAGAAATTGGACTGTAATGCACAAGTCAGTGGACATTACAACTGCTGAAAGGTTTTTTCTCTAAACCAAGTATATTCAAAATGAATTGAGTAGCAACTTCGTGATGAGTTTCTCAATATTTACCTTTATAATATCAAAGATCCATTTGGAAGTCTTAACTAATAACAACTCATTGAGAAGTTCAGAACAGTTCTAAAGCAAATCATATGTCTTTGCAGATTTGTAATTTAAGTCCTAATTATAGATTTCTGCCTTATGTTTTAATAATGACTTTAAAAAATGACCTGGTTTATGGCTTCATGAGCCTGGTTATTTGTAATTACACTTCATGAGCCTTGTTACTTGTCGAACATGTGAACACAATAGGTTTATGGCTTGTTTTTAGATGATAGGGGAGTGTCTTACACTCCGTTACATGTACTTCTGCACAATTAACCAAGAATCCTTATTGAAAGTATTTTTCAGAACAACCATATCATGCTTCTTCAGATAATGCTCACACACATGGTTTGAAATAAGAAAGTAGAAATTGATGAATCAGAATAGCAGCAAAACCTGCACAACTGGCAGTGATAACTTGTATAAAGATAAATCTTACCTGAAGAGAAAAACGGATTTCTGGAGAAAAGCTCTTCATATTGGAGTGAGTAACCCGTAAAAGTACGGATTCATCGCCTTGAATCTGTAACTGAGAAGCCATTATCCTTCAAAACTTAGCCCTGGTAATTTCTACAGAGAGGGGAAAATGTGATGAAAAAACTCAGATCGAAGATAAACAATAAAAAAAACATAACCGAACCATATGCATCAGAAAAAAACCATCATAAGTCCGATCGTTACCTGAAAAGCACCGTTGGAATACTTAGCCCTCTCTGCAGACCACAGCACCCGACGATGGACACTGAGAGACCGCACTACAAGTTTGTAGAGACTACTAATTTGTATTTTCCTTTTTGAGGGAGAGTCTGCCCATTTATTTTGTTAAATTTTAATTAATTAACTTTATTAAATCACATAATAATCAATTTTGGTATAAACACATGATAGGGATAGGATTGTTCATGGTTATGATTAACAACCAAATTGATTTTAAAAATAGATATTTTATTTAGTTTGAGCAGATTTGGTTTTTAAATTTTGAAAATCGCTACTATTTGGTTTTGTTTTTGATTTTACTAAAAAAACAACAACAAAAATGTGCAAATCAAATCGATAAATCAAATATATATAAATTTTATAATTATTTAATATTCTTCATAAATAAATTAAAAATATTTTGTTAAATTTTAATTAACTCAAGTCTTTAACTTTACTATTTTCTCAAGCCCAATTACTTTAGTCCAAATATAACAATCTCAAATATAAGTCCATCAAAATCTCTTTTAGTCTTTATATGTTGTACTTCATATAAAATAGTCACGCATTTGTTGGTGTAATGGGATTGCTTAATTGTTTGACTGAACTGACATTAATTTTTTTTTTGTATATTGTTCATATACTTGGTGTTTGTGTCTATCGAGATAGGTACATCCGCAAAAAAATCATTACTTTCAAATCGAATAAATTGAAAAAACTGAACTAAATCGACCGTAACCAAACCGATGGTTATTTTTTTTGTTTGGTTTGATTTGATTTTAAAAATTTTAAAAACTGACTAAATTGATTTAATTTTGATTTTAATTAACAACTGATTCAAATCGAATACGAACACCCCGAAGAACGGGTAAGTTTTTTCTATAAATGTGGCTTTACAAAGGCACAAATGCCCCATACAAATTTGTATCACATTTTTAAAGTTTTAATTTATTATAAAATGATATTATAAAATTTATATAAGAGAATATTAGTATATTTAGCATCTCGGCAAGTTAAAATAATTAATAATACATACATGAGCTTAGTTTATCATCTAATGGTATATGCATTTATTATCTTAATATTTTAAATTATATTGTTCTTTATTTAGTGTTTACCTAGAATTCAAATAGTGATTTGAAGTACTTATGTTTCATTTTCAATATGATTTATTAAATTTTTGTTGTAATTATTGATATTAATTATCTATGGATGAAAGTAAATATCCTTTTATGCATAATATTTTCAAATCTTCAAAAATAGAAGAAAAAACAGTAAAGCAGAGCTACAATAGTGTGTTAAACAAAAGAAATAGCAACTTTAACAAAAAATGTATAATTTACTATACTAAATATTGTAAATAATGTGAACTTGACTTTGATTTATTTATATGTCAAGCTATATCAATTTTTTTTAATTAATAGTAATTACTAAATGAAATAAGATCAACCATAAACTTCACTCAAACAAACATTCTATCCTATTTATAAATTAAGGAAAACTATCCAAGCAACTACATTTTCTAGTAGATATATATGGACAAACTTCACACAACTTAGATAACCACAATTATAAAAATTTAGAAGTGATCCCACTAATTACACCACATGAATAACACCAAAAAGAATTTTAAAATTAAACAAATTAATTTAACTATCATAGGGGGTGAAAATTGTCCTTGAAGTTACTATATATAAAAAAAAAGTAGTAAAAATGACGTGAATCAATTCGTCTCATTTAATTTTAATATTTCAAGTGAAAATATGTTTTTTTCTTTAATATTTGCCTGATACACATTAATATTTCCAATATATTGACAAAAATAACTTAGAACACAACGTCCAAAATGCAAGTAAAATATTTTGAAAGCCTAAAAATCGTAATGTAAAGTAACCTCTATATTTTGGTCTAATTACCTTTAAACTTAAAATTTAAATACATTAATTTAATAATTTAAAAACTAACTTTTAGTTTATATATATATATATATGCCTTCGATAACCACACATTTTAGGAGTCATCATTTATCTTTTAACTTAAATTCAACCTTCAAAAAAATAATAATCTAAAAAGATAAATTACAATGTGTTACTCATTGAAATTTGGTTGGTTTATATTTAAAATAACAACCTTAATAAATGATTTCCTAACTTTATTTTTTACTTCCGTGTTTAGGAATCATACATGTAAATTTGATTATAATTTCTTTTATTAAATTGTAGATTTTATTTAGTCTTTGAATATAATCAATATATAGATTGTCATCACTATAAATTTGAAAATTGTCTGAATTTGGATTTATTGTAAAACACGGTAAAAAGTTAAATATTTTTTAAAATTTTTAAAGAGAAATGCAACTTTTTTGCAATCCTAACATGTGAAAGTTTTGCCTCTTTGCCTCTTTTTATTATTATTATTATTATTATTATTATTATATAAATATGATTATATTCTAATAGGTAGTAAGATACGTGAGGCTATTTACACAGGTTAATATATGTTAATTTTTGTCTCAATTTATATGACATAAATGAAATTTAAATAATTAATATATATATATATATATATATATATATATATATATATATATATAATATTATAAGTTTTTGTTATTTTGACTTAGGATACTTTTTACGTCATTTTAAGATATTGTATATTACTTTTATTGTCTCATTTATAAGACATAGGTAAATTTGAAGAGTCAATAGAATTTTGTATACGTATATAAAAATATTTCAAGATATTAAATATTGTAATTTATAATATTTTTTACAATTTTTTTTTAAATAATAGAGTATGCATTATTTTTCTCCTAATTTATAGCGTTAATAGAATTTAGAGAGATAAATTAACTTTTTGATTTATTTCTAAATATTTTACGTAATTAATTGTATAATTCTTGTACTTATTCCTCAAATACATCACCGTGATTTACAAATATATAATCAGCAAAAATACAATAAAATAAATTTAAAACAAAGAGATTACTACAAAATAGTAATGAAAAATAGTACTATTACAACTCTAATACATACAAATATTAAATAAAATAACTACATCAATTCTAAACCAACAAACCCTATCAACTATGTTCTCAAGCTAGAATTCAAAAACGTAATTGATCTTCTTTAAGTGTAAAAACTTATCTAAAAAATTATCCTCATCTTATTTTGTTTCTGATAAAATAAACATAACTTGAAAATAAATTGAAAAAAATATAATTTAAAGGAATCAGAAGAGTGAAACAACATAATTCAAATATTGTTTGTTTAGATCTAAAGAAATTATTATTGAAACCTCAAAAGATATGAGTAAATATTAAAAATTGGACACTGTCTAGTTTATGCGAGGCTCAACAATATTCATCAAAGCTTTCAGTTGTGACACTCTTCATACATACTCGTATATCTAAAATTTATTTCACCGATTAAAAGTATACTTTATTATCGTTACTTTTAGAAAAAATGTTATATATGACACAAAATTTGCTCTAATGCAATCTCTTTTTGGCCAAAAGCCACTAATCTGTCAAACTTAAAAGGCTAATTTCAATTCAATTTTTATGAATAAAGAAAAATTTAAGGATATTTTTTTCAACATTTGTAAGGGAATGAGTTTAAACATTTTTGAAGTTTTAAAGTACCTTTTTTTTTCTTGCTATCGTTTATTTAGGGCTTTAAATAACTTTTGAAATCAATAATTCCTACAGTTATATTTTTAATTGGGTGGCTTAAAATTTGAAATTCAAAATGAATTGTGTAGTAGTTAATCCTAATCCTAATTTTTAGCTAACACGTAAAAGTGGGAAACATGTTGTTGTTTTTTAATTATTTTTTTTACAGTTTTGTTTTGAACTTCATTTTTCTTAATTAAATTTTTGTCAATAAAATTTTAAAATAACGACTGAGTTATCTATTATTTTTTTAAAAAAAAACTTTTTTATTTCTTATTTAATTTGTTTGGCATTTGGTTTTTTGAATTTTTAAAATTTAATTGTGAGGGTAAAATTTTAATTTTAAGAAAATAAAAATAAATAAGAAATTTAATTCACTTAAACTAAACAGATTATTCAGTTACTGCGTTTTATTAAAAGAAATAATTTTAATTTAAAAAGTTTTCAATTTCAATTGCATAGAAGTAGGAGTGTAATGGGTGGTTTTAAAACTTACTTGGATTGTCACTTTATTTTTAAAAATAAAGACTAAATTGTCCCCGGTCAGTTTTACTTGCTTTGGGCTCGTTGAAACTTGAAAACACATTCGTTTTTCCCTTGGGATTAACTGTCCCCATTACTAAACACTTAATGGACATTCATAAAAACTTGGCAAAAAATAAGTTGAAATCCCGAATCACCGAATTTCATGGACTATAGCAATACAAATCGATAAAATATAATTTTACCTACTTTGGGACTCGTTTTAACTTAAAAATGCACTTGTTTGCCTCTCAGGACCTATTGGCTCCATTACCTACGTCTTAACGGATGTTCATGAAAATATTTGACAAAAAAAAAAGCCAAAATCCTGAATCATAAAAAATCATGGACTATGGCACACGAAAATTTATAAAATCTGATTTACCTACTTCAGGTCTCATTTGAATTTGAAAATGCGTTTGTTTGCCCCTCGGGACGGGACCAATTGAATTCATTACTAAGGTCTTAAATTACATCCACGAAAAATTTCTGTCAAAACAAGCCGGAGTCCTGAATCGCCAAATATCCATCGATTATAGCTCATGAAAATTGGTAAAATCTGATTTTAACTTCTTTGGGGCTCGTTTGAACTTAAAATGTGTCTAGTTTCCCTCGGGAACAACTGGATCCATTACTAAAATTTTAAGGCACGTCCATGAAAAGTTTCAGCCAAAAACAAGCAGGATTCCAAATCACCAAAACGTTATGGATTATAGCACACGAAAATTGATAAAATACCTTCTTTGGGGATCATTTAAATTTGAAAATGCGCCCATTATCATATATGAACTGCATAAACTCATTTTGTGTAGTAACTTAGAAATGACAAATGAGATATAAATTGTTGTAGGCAAAGTCGATGCGAAGAAGTTGACTTAGAAGACGGGGGCAAGTTAAATCGATCTATGATCTACTATCTGCTATATTAACTAAGTCACCTTTATAATCGGTTCTAAGAAACTTTGAGCATCCTTTCTCACTAAGCTAAGTTGAGCAATTTTTTGTTAATTTACTTTCTCTAGATTGTAGACAAACTCAAAATATTTTAGATCAGTGTTTTATAATCACCGATCTCATTTTTTTTTCAATACGTAACGTGAAAGGCGCATGAGAATAACATAATTGAAGTATTTTTTTCATCAACTATCAATTTTTCACTCAAACTAATTAATAATTTACACAAATAATAACGACATTCAAAGTAATAAAATTATAACTAAAGAACATGAACTAAAACTACGCGACGTAGCTTAGTGGATTCCATAATTTTGAAAAGTTGTACACTAATTAAATTGGAGCGAAAAAACATTTTCCATTTTTTTACAAAAATACCCTTGTTGAAGAAGACACGGATTTTGACAATTCATGTGACACAGTTGGAAGAGTTAATGTTCACACTTTACATCCTGATTTTTCAGAAGATTCTAGTCTGTCACAACACGGTATACACACTTTTTTTGTTTTTCCTCGATCTTTTTTTCTCATTTTTCTATCACGCATATAAGGTGTGTCTAAGTCACGTTACTTTTATGATGCTATTCAATTTCATTCTATATATAAGTGTGTCTATGCATTAAAATTATTCAAACTCACCAATCCGCATTGCTCCATTTTTACAGTTTGTAGAATTCAAAGTTTTTCATACTCCATTTTTACAGTTTGTAGAATTCAAAGTTCTTGATTCTTTATTTTTTGGTCGAAAACTTTTTTCTTATTAAGGTTAGTGTTGTTATTGTGAAAAAAATCTTTAAGATATGTATATTTTTTTTGTGAATTTTGATTGTTAACAAAAATTGTGTATTTTGACTCAGGTGTAGAAGATGGATTCAACGAATGACTATGTTTCAAAGAGTGATCCTAATGTTGTTATCATTGAGAAGGAGGAGGGAGACAAAATGATATGATAATTTTTATCATTGAGAAGAAGGTGGCTCAACTCCTATGTCATCTGCAGACTTAGAGAACTCAAGAGAGGCACGAAAGAAAATATATTACAAAATTGTCATCATTCTTGGATGTTGAAAACAATTTTTGACTCTTCTGCAACTCGGGATTCTCCTATTTATGGAGATGGAACTATGTCGGATTTAGTTCTCCTAAGTGTCAGAGCGATATGTATCATCACTAATGTGGATGATTTGAGTTCATGTGGATCAACATAGCAGGAGAGATAAATCTTAAGAGGCTGAAAAAACCCTCATATGAGAGTAAGAGAGGATGCATTATCTGACACCCACCTGGAATCGGATAAACGCACTCACTATTGTGTTTCTTCAGTCGTTTTTGAAGATATTTAAAGTGTCAGCTTGTTATCATAGCTCTATCCAATTTGCTTCTTAAATAGAAAACCGAGTTCCATAAATGCAAGTTGGACATTCTCTTCTACAATTTGAACAATAAAAATTTATATTCCCAAGAAGAAGAAGCTATTGTTGTTGTCTTCAAATATTTATCACATATAAGAAGAAAATATTCACACCTTATAAGTTTTGTGAAGCTGGAATCCTGGGATGAAAGTAAGTGTTTTGGGAATCAACTATGACTCTTTCAGAGATCTCCTAGCAGATGATGGAGACGGTAATGCCAAAGAGAATCTCTTTGGCAAAACCATCTTCATCTTGTCCTGTGAGAATCCTGTACAAGTCATAGCTGATTCCCAAAACACTCTTACTTTCCTCCAATATTTCAGCTTCACCATGCACATAAGGTGTGAATTCTTTTTTTCGGGATTAGATAAATGGTATAAGACACCAACAATACCTTCATCTTATTTTAAGGAGAAGTCTTTGTTGTTCAAGTTGTGGAAGAAAATATCCAACTATTTCTGGAACTCAACTTCATAGTTAAAAAACAAATTTTATGTAGCTATGATTAATGGACGACACTATGAAAACATTTTCAGAATTGACTGAAGAAACACTATGGTAAGTCGGATTTTTGTGGTATCATGTGGGTGTGAGATGAAGTATCCTCCCTTTCTCTCAGATAGGGACTCTCTCAGCCTCTCAAGATTTATATCTCCAGCTATATTATTCCACATAAACTCAAATCGTCCATATCGATGAGGATATATTGTCGCTTTGGCTCTTTGGGAAACTAAATACCACACAGTTCCTTCTCCATAAACATATAGGAGAATCTTAAGCTGCAGAAGAATCATAAACTCTGAAGCCGTCAACATTCAAGAGTAATGGCGATTCTTAAAGTATTTTATGCGATTTTTGTACAATTTTTAGGTGTACTATAATTTGCCTAGAACTTTTAATACCTCTACATGATGTATGTTAAGACATGATAATAGATGGTTAGTATTATAATTATCATTTTAGTAAAAATCTAGTAATACTGACCGTCTATTATCATGTCTTAACATACATCATGTGACATTAATTTCTCATTAATGATAATTTAGTCACGCAGTTGGACATGTATTTAAAATTCAAAATCTAATGGGTTTTACCGTTTCCCGTCCTTCTCTCGTGCATAAATTTTTGTCTTCTCACAATAAGCTCAAATTATGACCCTTTTGGATTGGTAATGTTATGTGATTCTCTCACGATTTTTCAGGCATATTATAATTTCTCTAGGCCTTTTAATACCTTCTCACGATGAAGACACGGGATTATCGTGAGCAATCCTGATAGACTTTTAAAAAATTTCAACCTTCGATGTTTTATTATATATTTTTTCATTTTAGTGCACTTCTAAATAATAGTAACCATATATTATCATTTTGTGACATACATCATGTGACATTAATTCCTCATTTGATGAATTTTAGTCACTCAATTGGATAAGAGATTAAAATTTAAAATCTAATGAATTTTCTGTTGATCTTGTCTTATTCATAAATTCAAAATTGAAGAGTTTAAACTTCATAAAGTCTTTTTAGTGTATTTTAGAGATAAAATACAAGTACCCTTTGAACTGTACTTGAAATTTCAGCGACACACTTAAAATACTATGATTCAATAGTAGAATCAATAATGAAAAATGCAAATTAGAGAAAAACAAAATAGTAGGCATATAAGTTAAACCTTAATTTGAATCTTACTAACTGAAATTGTAGATACATGGCGTGAGAACGAACTGAGTTTCTCACTATGAGAACCTTAGATACGTGGAAGAACAAGAATTTCTGAAGAGGGGCTTGAAACTCTGTTGTTTTTGGTCTACTCGAGGTTTGTTCTAAGTTCAGGGAGTAGAATAAGAGACAAACTGAAAAAACTACCGTAATATGCTTCCCTAATAATTGTTATAACATCGCCATTTGATCTTATTAGAAAACAAAGACATAAATATCCTTAGAAAAACTCTAGGCTCTTGGGATTTCTATGGAACATAAACGTGTTGCCATCTTTCAAGTTCCCATCACAAGTCCATTCTATGGATCATAGAATGATCCATGAAATGTGGAGTTTCTTCGTGGAACTCATGATTTTGACAACTTTCATGTTCGAGTCACGAGGTCATTCCATGACTCGAGGGATGACCCATGGTTCGTAGAATCACTCTGCAGAACCGAGATGCAACAATACAATATCCTCTAATCCTGTTTCACATGCATAATACGCGACTTGTGGAGTCTTTCATGGCTCACAAATGTCGATTATGGTCTAGTATTGAAGTTTTAGGCTGGTTTTTATGTTAAGTACAAAGTATTCATAGTTTCAAAATTTTAGGTATTAAGTTGTCAGTCATATCACACTCTAAAGGTAATAACACATCTAAAGAAATATATAGAATGAGTTCAACCGACATTATATATCAAGAAGGGCCGAAAATACCCTTGCTTCAAGTTTTGTCAAGAGACAACCCCTTTATATTATCTTCAAAAAAAAGGACCTAGAATACCCTCAAAGTATTGAAAATGGTACAAAATTACCCTCCATCCACCTATTGGCTCCAAAATACCTTTCTCACCCACCTATTAGGTCCAAAATACCCTTGTCATCCACCTTTTGGTTCAAAATTGACCACTTATTTAACGATTTTATATTTAAACTATTTAAATATTATTTTAAATACGTGGTGCTCAACTATTTGTTCTAATTGAACTTATTAATATAATTTATACTTCAATACCCACCCATTACTAATTAAACCCCTCCAAATTAATAAATCTGTTACATTATTAATGCAACAACAAAAAAACTACTGCCAATTGAGTGTTTATAAAAATTTGAGGCAAAAAATATCTATAGAAGTAAATTATCATACATTTAAGTGTCTAAATATAAATTACTAAAAGTCTGACTATGTTCATCTTAATTATTCTTACGTCTCAATTATGTGATGTTACTTCATAGGTAACTTCTTTTCAAAATAATATATTAAAGTGTTTTAAAACAAATCATAAATATTTGTAAAATTATATTTTAAAAAAGTGCATGAATTAATTCGGGATGTATTACTTCTTTACCTTTAATCATAAATTTATAATTCAATCTTGAAAGAGAATCCTATTGAAAGTGTCCTCCTAAATAAGGCTCAACCTAAATTTAATTGGGGCTTCGTTTCAGACTCGAGAAATTTGGACGATTTTCAGGAATCTATAATTTCATCGTGTTTTAGTAGTGTTTATGACGATTTTTATATTATAAATTTAATTATTAATTGGCTGGGGTTTAGTTAGTAATGAATTGGTGTGGGTTGATTTATAAATTATATTAATAAATTAAATTATAACCAATAGTTAAACGCCAAATATTTTTAAAAAAATTTAAAGAGTTTAATTTTAAAACAATTAAAGAAGTGGTCAATTTTGAACCCAAAGGTGGATGACAAGGGTATTTTGGAGCCAATAGGTGGATGAAAAAGGCATTTTGGAGCCTATAGGTGATTAAAGGGTAATTTTATACCATTTTCAATATTTCAAGGATATTTTAAGCCCTTTTCTATATTATCTTTTTATATATAAAAAAGTAATTATTTTTCTCCATTATGCTTTTTCCTTTTATATTTTCATTTTTCATTCCCTTTTTTATTTGTCTTCAACAATGTTTTTTAGCTAAAAAAATTGTCTTTTTAGATATGATACATTCCATGACTATTACATATTCTTAGACCTTTAGAGGAGACCTAATACCAACAAAATATAGATGTTATTTATTGATGCTTTGGGAGAATGAGAAACTTCACTATCGGAATCACTTCTACTTCTACTGCTAGTATTGAACTTAAAACAATGCTTTAAAAAATTACTAGTAAGCAACACTAGTTAGCCGAAATGAAAATATCGATACTGGCTAGCGGAGAGACTAGTGTTGATTTCTATTTAACAAAGTTAACCTAAGAAATCTTATGGATTCTTGCAACCATTTCAATAAATGAATTTTATCCATTAATTAGTTTGTTACCCAATGATTTTGTAAATATATTCTTCTAAGTCAATGAGTTTGTTACACAATGAATTCTTCTATATGTTTATACTAAAGTTCAATCCTCTTGACTTTCAATTTTAATTTTGAGTTACCACCAAATTTCAAAATCGATGAGAAGTGAAGCTACAGTGAAAAATATGTGATTTGAAGATGAAAATTGATTTAGTGGTAAATGGATGATCGTGCCTGATGGCGGAGGTGAGCTAATGTTGCCCTGTTAAAGAGGAAAAGAAAGAAGAGAAAAAAGGTGAAAATGGAAAAATAAATAAGAACAAAAGAAAATATAAGAATTCAAAAGAATCAGAAAAGTAATAGTATGAAATAAAAGAAATACTAATAAATTAAAGATGTAATATTTTTAGGAAAAATTATGCCGTTAAGCAAATTTATACTATTTAATTACTCATCATAGCTATAGTTTGATATAACTATCACACGACTAACATTATACATAAATAACGTAGGCTGACTTTGAGTTTGTATAATTAGTCACATTTGTATATGTATAACTCGCCAGGTATACAATTATTTAACCTATATATATATATATATATATATATAATTCACTTCTCTCCCACTCTCTGCCCTCTCTCTCTCGCCTCTCTCCTCCCTCTCTTAATCTCGTTCGTCTCTCTCCTCATCAATCTCGTTTTCCATATATACAAATGCATATGTATAATATATAATTATATACATATACTATTCACGTCTCTCCCACTCTCTGCCCTCTCTGGCTCGCCTCTCTCTTCCCTATCTCAATCTCGCTTGCCTCTCTCAATCTCTATTGTCATTTATACAAATAAATATATATGTATTATATACAATTATCTAAACCAATATACATATACAATTCACCTTTCTCCCACTCTTTTCCCCTCTCTCTCGCCTCTCTCCCAGACTCGCTCGCTTCTCTCCTTTGTATAACATGTAGCTACAAATTGTAATTATCAAACTGTAGCTATGGAGAGTAATTAATTATTTTTAATTGGCTATATGTGAAAATTTTCCTTATTTTTATTGTCTCTCACTCTCTCAAAGACAGTGAACTACATTTTCTTTGTCACCTTAGCATTTAGGAAACAAATAATTATATTTTAAAATAGTCCAGAGAGGTAATAGATTTTTCTAAAGTATAAGTGTGTAATCAGTAATATGGTAATAGATTAAGGGTGCATTTGATTATTTTCTCTTTAAATGACATACACTTTACTTTTACACATCTTGTCAGGTTCTAATGTAAATACCTCTTTTATGAGATAATGCATAAATACCCCCTCAACCTATGTCCAAAATCTCAGAGACACACTTATACTATACTAAGGTCCTATTACCCCTCTGAACTTATTTTATTAATAATTTTCTACCCCTTTTCGATCTACGTGGGCCTACTCCGTGTGTCTATTTCTACGAATTGTGAACTCCCATATTTAAAATCCTAGCTCCGCCACTAATGTAAATTATCTTTATATAGCCCTAGTATATGCACCCGCCCATTGCACGGTCAATAGATAAATATAATTGTAAATACTAATTTATTGATTATTTTATAATTTAACTTATTATAAAATTCATACAAGATAAATGTGGCTTTACAAAACCACAAATGCCCCAAAAATAATATTTAGTTTGTTACTTACACAAGATCATTGTGTCATAATGTATTATATTGTATTGTATTGTGTTGTAGAGTATATTGTTTGTTATTGTTTAATAACATTTTAATTATTTGATTTGATTGTATGGTATGGTATGATATTGTAATTTATAAATTTACTAAAATATCCTTAGTTATTCTAGGGTAGGTGGTTTGATTATAGTTAAATAATATAAGGTAAAGGGTAAAATAGTATTTGAAATATTATGTAAACAATAAATTAAGTAACAATAGGAACAAACCAAATCGTTTGTTCCATAAAATAGGGATTTTCATTGTTACGTAACAACGAAATTTAACAATAAAATACATTTTAAGTAACAAACAAAACAAACATTGTAGGTACAATAATGATACAATCCAATACAATGGGTAACAATGATCCAAACAGGGTGTTATTGTTTCAAATATATTGTTTTATATTGTATTGTGTTGTATGCATTGTAGCTTACTATTATTTTAATAAACATATTATTTGTATAGATTGTGTTACTCTCTATAGTTAGTTGTTACATAATGTCCGAGTGATAAACCTTAAAAAAAGCAAATTAGTAGGTAGAATTACTATGAAAAAGTAGAATAAAGTATGAAATATGATTATTAAACAATATACAAATATAAAATGAGAAACAAATATTAAGATAATGAGTGACCACACCAAATTGATCATTACATAAAGTGGGTCTTATCATTACCTAATAATAGATTTAAGTGATACAATACAATAGAATATGAGTAAAATCAAAATAAACATAATATTTAAACTAACAATAAATACAGAAGATAACAACCGTCCAAACAAGTTGTAGCTTTTATCCTTTTCAACTTTAAGTAACAAAAAATTAACGGAAAAGGGCCTAAAATATCCTCTCCATAGCTATAGTTTGAAAGGGGGTAGAAAGTTATTTATAAAATAAGTTCAGAGGTAATAGATCATTAATATAGTTTAAGTGTGTCTCTGAGATTTCAGAAATGATTGAGGGGTTACTTATGCATTTTTACCTAACGATAATAATAAAAAGAAATGTGAGCTCTTTGACTAATTAAATGACATATTTAAATGGGAAAATTTCATAAAAATATAAGAAATGTGAGCTCTTTGACTAATTAAATGACATATTTAAATGGGAAAATTTCATAAAAATATAAGAAATGTGAGCTCTTTGACTAATTAAATGACATATTTAAATGGGAAAATTTCATAAAAATATAGTTGCCTCATTTATATTGCAACAATATAGTCTAAAATTTATATTAATCATCAGTTAAAATATAATTCGATATATAATAATATACATTCAATATATGAAAACAATATACAAACTTAAATATTTTTTTTTAAAAAAAGTATTTGTACACTCATATATAGTAATATAGATTTCATTTATTACCATACAAATCAAAATTTCTTTAAATATTGTCAGTTGATTTCTCTCAAATGATATTACATAATCTTCTAAAAATTTATGGATAGTTAGATCTAATGATGTCCTATCATTCCAAACATATAAATATCATAGAAATATAATTTGATTATGAAAATATTTTACACTTTCGAAATTTTGTTAGAGTAATGACATTGTAATTTGTAATTTTCCGAAGTTGTAAATAAAAGTTTTACTTCTCAATATATAATATAGGTTAATTTATGCTTCATTTTTCTGGGCTTTATAATTATAATATAATATGTTTTCCTTCAGAAAAATTAAGTTTAGTTGTAGAGTAATTCTGTAACGAGAGCAGTCGGCTTTACCTGTAACGAAGCAGCAACACAAGTGATGAAGAAACCGGCAATTCTTTACCATTACCCATGCCCTGATGGAGCTTTTGCCGCTTTGGCTGCTCATCTTTATTTTTCTTCTCTACCTATAACTCCTCTTTACTTCCCCAACACTGTTTACTCTCCCATCAGGTATATTGCTTCTTCTACTCAAGCTATTTGTTTCCTTTTTATTTAGTCGCTATTAATGGAATCAGTTTTTTTTTTTTTGTTGGTTTATAGGGTGGAGGACCTTCCTCTAAATCAAATTGATCATGTTTACCTCTTGGATTTTGTGGGTCCTTCTGGTTTTGTTCAGCAACTCAAGTCAAAAGTTGAACGGTAACTTCTTATTGTCTTTCTTAGTTTCAGAATATTAGGGTTTATGTTTAGTTCATTAATGTTTAGGATTCACTTTGATTGAGAACTTGTATTGTTCAGAGATTCTTGATTCTCTGTATTTTCAGTGGCAGTTTGTTGCTAAATTGTAGTAATTGATGTTCATAGTCTCTTCTATTTTGTGGGGTGGGGTTAAGTGAGGGTGGATTTGAACTTCTTATATATTTTTTTTGATGACCATGGTGTCCGGATGGGCTTTCGTGCACCTCCATTAGTTTCACGAGATACCTCCTAACTTAACTCAGGATAACTCTGTCCACCAAGGCCACGACAAATTGGAAGAATCACCTTATGTTTTTGTCTCTGTTGGGATTTGAACTCGAAACCTCATGGCTCTCAACTACTCCGTTGACCACTAGGCCACACCCTTGGGGTGATAAAGTTCATATCTCTTTGTGCAAAAATGTTTGTAATTTTGTATGTGTTCAAGAACTTAATGAAACCATATGCTTGGGGCCTCTATATTCATTGATTTTAATCTCTTTGGGGATTCTATCATCAGTGTTGTTGTATTGGACCATCACAAGACTGCAAAAGAGCTGTTAGGTGGAGGGACATCTGAGACTGAAAATGTGAGCAAAGTGATCGACATGGATAGAAGTGGGGCTACTATTTCTTATGATTATTTCAAAGAGAAGCTCATAACCGGAAACAATAATGAAGCTGCTGACGGCAATGCAGTAAAGATTGGTGAATTTGACAGAGTCAGGAGATTATTCGAATATATAGAGGACAGAGATTTGTGGAGATGGAAACTCCCAGACAGTAAAGCATTCAGCAGTGGGTTGGATGATCGCCATATTGAATATGATGTCAATTTGAATCCCTCCTTGTTTCAACAGGTGGTCTCTACTTGCCGTGTTATTTTCTATCATGCAACTGTTTTATTATTGTAGTGATTACAAGCCCTACTAAGTAAGACTCTTAGTGACTGTGTATTCTTCCAAGGAAAGATACTATGCATGCAAATGATGAAGTCACTACTCAAAATTTAACTGTCTATTTCCAGGATTGATGTATTCATGATAGACTATTCACTATACACCCGTGGTTGAATAGGTTTTATGAATAAGAAATTGTTAGTTACATAACATAGCAGAATTAGATCCACTGAAGGAACTGAAGCAGCAAACTGGTATTGCTCTGACCTTCTTTGCTTCCATAATTAACCTGAGAGGCTTAAAAGTTTGGGATAATTGGTGCAAGGCTCAGCAGATTCATGAATTATTTGAATCCCGGTCACATGCACCACATTCATATACTTGGACATAATCTAAGCAGTTTGTTATTGCCAACGTTAACTTTTTGTGTCTTGGAGGTTGTCGGCTACGCCTCATAATGATTTCCTTTTCTGCAGTTGCTTGCTTTGGATCTAAAATCTGTTGTAGAGCAAGGAAAGATAAGCTTGTCGTACAAACAGAAACGTATAGATGAGGTCATCGAGCAATCATTTGAGATAGCACTTGGAGCTGGAGCGTTTGGTTGTTGCCTGGTAAGTTCCAAGACTTCTTTGTCTTGTGAATATGGAAGTTTTTCTTAATGAACTTTTAGTTGTTAAATAGGAAATTTTCCATCATATGCATATAATCAAGTAACTGTAATTTATAGCAAGGATCGACTTTGGTGAATACATGCTAGGCTTTATGGGTTGCTCTTCATGCATGAATAAAGAACTGAGCAAACATTAGAATTACGTGTTTCATGTGCAAACTCCCAAGATCTTTGGGCATGGATAAACAACTGAGCAAACAGTAGAATTATGTGTGTTATGTGCAAACTCCCAATGCTTATGGAAAAACTATTGATAGCTAAAAGACTTACACCGGGCTGTTAATCTTTCTAAGAGAATGATGAACACACAAATGCCAGTGATATTACTATTCTTATAACGCACGGTGCCCCTTTCATGGTGTTACAGCTCGTGAGATAATCTTTATAGTGCATGGTCACTTTCTGGAAGTTGTCAATGAGCCATAGACTAACTGGCTGCCTTCACTTGTAATTGGAATTTAAGCTTTCAAATGAAAGATACAAGTGGGAAGTTCTCGAGATAGAACATGTGTAAGTTACGAAAACTTCCATTAGTTAAGGTACCATACATATTCTACATTTGAATATCTTGGGATATCAGTCTATTTCTTTGTGAGGAGTTGAGCCGTGACTGAGATATTGAACAGTATATAATGTGTTCTCCAAATTTTCAAGCTTCTATGAGTAGGTTTATGTGTCTTTACTTCTTGGTTTCACATCAGGACAACTCTTTTCAGGAGCATATTCTTCAAATTGTGACTGAAGTTAGATGCTTGTAAACAACAAACCGGAAATCTCGTGTTTTCTGGTACTTATATTTTTTCCTTATATCATAAAGCACAAATCTGCTCTTTTCCGGATCTTACTCTTGGAATTGACAAGATATCAAATTCATGAGTCAGAAGATTAGGCTGGTTCCTCTTGTATGAGTGGTCATTTAGATATCTATATTTGACTCTTTAGGTTAATGATTCATCTTTTCGAATACCTCTTATTCCTCAAGAGATTTTCCACATCTTAATTGGGTGACACCCTTAGTTTAAGGATGAGCAAGCTCACCATGAAGGACATACCCTCTCCTTCACATTTTTGGTCATCTAGCTGACTCTGTCTCTGACTAAATTAATTCTCTGCAGCATTTGCAGTTCCACAGAAACAACAATATACCTAGTATAATCCCACAAGTGGGTTGCAATTTCACAGAAATGGCATAATTCTGTTTGATGATGTGAAGTTGCCGCTTAATCTTTTACTTTGTTGCAGTAGACAGATTTATAATACTGGAGAGATGTGGTTTATTAGTGTCAACCCATTCAAAGGTTTGATGTAGTAGATCTGATATTTCTTGGAATGTCTCTTCTGTCTGTTTAACCTGTCAACAAAGTTCCTGAATAGTGTTAACTTCATGCTGGAGACCACAATTGTGCCATGGTAATATTCTACTGTAGCATCATTCCCTGGCAGTGACCTTAGGCTGCCCGCCTGACCGCTGCCTCCCTTTGTTTAAAGTGTACCAACAGACATGTTCACATGTACATTTTCCCGAGTGATACGAGAAGTTGTTACCATTACTGTGTGAGGTCTAGCAGATCGAGAATGTGCTAAATCATTGAGTGCATAAAAATGTGCAATATACTTGAGTGAGGCTAGAGCACGTGCTCTGCTGCTTGCTGAGATTTGCCCGAGAAAAAAATATCTTCTATACATTTTGCGTGATCTGTTGGCTCACTGGAGACTCTCTGCTTCACTCAGAGCAAATACATGGCAGAGTTTTGAGTTAGTTTGTTAGAAATAAGACAAGGTTTGCAATAACTATGTGAGGTTGCAATTTCTATGAATTATAAGTTATATTCATCATACTTACTGTGTGGTTTCTGGTAGGTTACATTCTAGATTGCTTCTATTTACTGCTGGAAACTCCTGTTAGGTCTTTATCCCACTCGTTGCATGAGTCCCTAAGTGTCATCCATTTGTCAATCTCCCTGAGTGGTGCCTTGACTACTGAAAGCTCCTGACCATACAAGCTATGTGAATCTAACAATTCAAAGTTGTGCTCGGGGATGAAGTCATTTATTTATCTGATACATTCACGAGCATGGATAGCATGTTTTACATTTCCAATTTTATTGGATGCCCCACCAACTATATAGGCCGTTTATCTGAAAATGCTCTGTGTACCACTTTCTTCACTAGATCTTTGAAAGATAAATAGTATATGTGCCCTCAGTATTTATGGCTGACAAAAAAAATTCTGTAACTGTACCTTAAAAATTTAGTTCCTACTATTTCCATCCAGAAACAAGCTATGCCTTACTGATACACGAATTCTTTCTGAGTGGGTCCTCCTCTAGTTTCACTTATTTTAACAAAGCTTATACTCATTAATTGTCAGCAACCAGATGTTACTGTTTTGTGCAATATTTCCTCTTGACTAAATTTATAAACCATTGTCATATGGCTCAGAGATTTGAGAATGACAAGATGGTTCAATCTTTCCTGTAGGCAGTTAATGCAGATTCTTTGCCTGAGCTAAGAAGTGAGCTTGGGAACCAGTTGGCAGTCAAAAGTCGTAATATGAAGTTGAGGTTTGTACTTCCCCGCTTCTTGTGTGCATCAATTTCTATGAAGCATTATTTCTTTATTTTTTCCTTTTTTCCTATTATCTCCCTGTGTCTCTTGTGATACATTCCCGATAATATAAGTTCGGGATAGAGATTAATAATTGTTTCTCATTGGAGCAAATACTTTTAATTTCACGAAAAATTGGATGATGTAAATTTGCTATTCAGTTTTGTTGAAGTATATAATATATCTCATTTAAAAAGTTAAGTTGTTGTGAAGGTGATACTTTCATTAATTTAATTTTGTCTTAACGTGCCTCCAAACGTGAAGCTTGATTCTTTTCCCTTGAGTCAAGTACGTGAAAATACTTTTTGATAGTTGGTAGCGGTGAGACATAAATTGAGGACCTCTACCTGCTCTGTCTTATTATGTAGTCGTCGAATCCAAAAGCTTAATCTATGGGAGAGAAGACATTTCTAATTATGTCTTAACATTATATAGTTGTATAAAGCTATCCATAGACACCGTTTTACATGATGAAATCTCAAATTAGTTTTGCTAATGGCACTTGTTTCATCTATAGGTTGTTTGAAGTTGGATTAGGAGTTTCTGCCAGAAAACTACTAAGGATTTATCTTGAAAACGGTATTCAAGTGACAACTTCAAATATACTGATAATCTGAACCAAAATGCTACTTGCATTCATCTCTGTTTTTATAATTTTCTTTGTTAAGTTGGCCTTAGCGGTATTTGTGTGAATATGGACAAGGGTATATATTTTGTATGCGTGGCGAATATCTGGAGGCTCCACAAGTTTCATCAAGTTTAGTGCATTTTTGAAAGATCTAGATGAGCTGACATGTGTATTAGGCATATATAAGAAAACTGAGAGAGCAGCTATTTGGAGTGTTCCGACAAGTGAAAGACAATGAGCTGTTAAAAAATATTGGAGAGTTCAGTGCAAATATAGAATTGCACAGTCAAAAGAACGTAGTCTGGTTAAAATGTTATAGGGTTAAAATGAAAAAAAAATTGAGTTGATGCTGTTGCCAAAGCATGCTGTAAATTATCTTTTGCTGAGGTTCTACAATGCTGTAATTATGGGATGGTCAGAGGCCTTCTTTGGCTCTGGTTCTCTCTATATATCATGTTGTGCCAAGGGGGTGGCCTAGTGGAATGAAGTGGGTGCAAACCTTGGAGAGAGATCAGGATTCAAATCCAAGCATAAACAAAGAACTCTAGGTGATTTCTTCCCATCTTCCTAAGCATTGGTGGGCGGAGTTGCCCAGTACATCAGCCCCTGTGTTGGTTTCTTGGTGGAATATTCTAAATGCACAAAGCTTGTCTGGACACTAGCCTTGTCAGGAAAAAGGGAGATGGTCAAATACAAAACGGGCTTCTGTAAGAATATTGTCTTAGTGTGCTGGATAGTAGGAGAAAGGTAAATTCCAAGAATTGTAAGAGTGAAGTTTAGAATTCCCCTTGTTCAACATCTCGTTACTGTTAAAAATTTCTTCATTACACCTAAGACTTCCAATGCAACAGTAAGCATGTTTTTTAATGTAATATGGCAACCAATACTTGGTTACTATTTACATGTGGTATAGGTGAGTGATACAGCCTGACATCACAATTTTTAGTCTCTGTACATGCAAGATAATCTGGACACCACAATTTTTAGTCATAGTTTCTCCTTAAATGTCTTTGAATTTGATGGAAGTAGAACATAATTTTTTAGAAGTTCTGACAACCATGTCATTTCACGAAGCTTCAAGATATAGCTAGTAAAATGTCAGTAATATCTAATTTTATCACTTGCTGAATGCTTGTAGAAATAGTTCTTCATTGTTCTTGTTGGATGTATGTCAGGGGTATTGGAGCTATTGTTTATAAGGTACCTGAGCTTGAAAACAATGAGATGTTAAAGGTTAGCCTGAGGAGCATTGGTGATGAAGATACGACATCTATCTCCCAGGTTCTTGCTTTGTTTACTTTTCACATCTTTCGATGAGTAATAAATACAGTTTGCAGTCATGTATAATATATTTCTTGGGAATTTGCAGGCATTTGGTGGCGGTGGGCATCGAAATGCCAGTTCATGTATGTTAAAATGTGCTGAGTTTGAGAATTGGAAGGTTTCAAATAGGACCTCGACATAGGTGAAGTACTATTGCCCTGAAGATCTAACTGAAGTTTGGCCCTTTCTCTTAGGCCGTCAACTAGGTCTCAGGTAAAGCCCACAGTCAAAATTGAATGCTGGAGCTTCTGTGGTACCTTCCTTTTGCGCACATGATCCTACTAACTATTTGCTTTACATCTTTTGTATGATGATGGAAGTAGGATAATCCTCGACCCCTAATATAGAGGGGTTGTTTGGTTCCTGGCTAAAGTATCTCAGCATTATAATTGTTGGACTAATTTATCCCACTTGGAAGGTGGGATATCTTGGGATTAAATTTTTACTTTGTTTGGTTAAAGATTGAAATTTATCATCAAAGTATAAATTTAATTCCAAACTTAATCCTGAGATACCCCACCTTAGGATATGTATAATTGCAGTTTTTGCTCATGCTAGACTTCAGACCCTCTTATAGTGTCAACTTTACAGTCAAAGGTGGTCTATGTAGTTTTTCTTTTTAATGTAAGAAACGACCTTCCTGGTCAAAAAGAATGCCGAAAACTAATTTATGGCTAATGAAAAAAAGAATTAGTTCTATACTGATCGATTATCTTTTTGCTTAATGAAAAAAATTAGTGGCATAAAGTCATATTTTGATTAAAGTTTTGAATTTAATATTCATGCTATTTATGTTTTCATTACTGAATTTGTTTTTAACAGTGGCGCTAGAGTTATTTTGCATGCTATCTTTATTGTCACAAAAAGTTAAATAATCTTTTCAGAAACAATCAAGTCGTAAGAATTTGTTAAGAATTGATTGCCTAGTAATCTAAAAATTTAACCCATAGTAAATGTCAAAATATTCCATGCACTTGCGATGGAATTATCTTTCCTACTACAGAGGCGTTTCCGCCAGAGAATTAATAGTACTAAAATTTCACATCACATCGAAGTTGTAGTCTGATATTTCATATCACATTGACGTTATAGTCTAAAATTTCATAGCGCGTTGATGTTATAGTCTAATATTTTTTATCATAGTGATGCTAGTCTTATATTTCGTATATCACATTAATGTTATAGTCTAATATTTCGTATCATATTGATGTTAGTCTAATATTTCGTATATCACATTAATGTTATAGTCTACTATTTCATTTCACATTGATGTTATAGTCTAATATTTCGTATCATATTGATGTTAGTCTAATATTTTGTATATCACATTAATGTAATAGTCTACTATTTCATTTCACATTGATGTTATAATCTAATATTTGTATCATATTGATGTTACAGTCTAAAATTTGTCATCACATTGATGTTACTGATCATGAACTATGTTCAATGATTGTCACGTCTGAGTCAGGAGTGTAGGGTTCAAAAATCTTCGTTGAGAATGAAATGGTCAATTGATACATTTGACATTTTCCCATACAGCCTTTATTTGCTATAAAATTAGGCCCCTACCAATAACTTACCAATACATATTAGTTAAGTACTAGTCAAGGCCAAACAGTAATGGCTGATTGGTATTCTAGTTTTTCGTACCTAATTATATGTACACAGTGCATGTTTATACTATACATGATATATACAATGAAAGTGTATATGTATACGTTCGGTCATGTTGATAAATTAGATGGTCGAAGTGTTGTCCTTCTCTCAAAAGACATAAATATAAGAAGAAGAGAAGTGTAAATAACAACCATTTCCCTTTTATTTCACAAGTATAACACCATGGCAACCTCAAAGAAAGAGGTCAAAATCTGAACCCTTAAAGCCACAAGATAAACTGTTTGGCTATACAAGTATAAATATATAATATAACCAGTCGCAAATAATTAAAAAACCACTAAGTACAATTAGCGAAATCATTGTTCATAATCAAGGTAAAGAAAAGAAAAGAAAAAGTTACATAGTTTATAATAAAATAATATGAATTATTAAGGTAAGAAGAATTTTATGTCATCGATAGATGGATCGAGTTGTTTATAAATTTGTGAAAGCAAGTGGAGGGATATCTTCACCTTGTTGAAAAGAAGAGTTGGAAGAACACCATACATCTTCTGTAATAAACTGCATCCATGAATCATCTTTTTCTTCTTCTTCAATACAACATGATGATGCTAATGGAACATCTGGAGATGGTGTTTGGTATTGTTCATGATGAATATTATTGTTGTTGTTAATGCCTTGAGTTAATGGGTACTCAAATGATGGTACATTAATACTTGGTTGTCCTAGTTCTTCTATATCTGAACAAACACCATTTTTCTTGAATACACGACACAATGCATATGAATCCTGTTTGCACAACAAGAACAAGAATGTCAATTATCTATACCGCTAACAGTTTAACTTAATTCTTTACAATATAGGATCGTTTGGTTAGGAACAAGGATATTTAGAGATTATAAGCCAAGGATAACCAGACAAGGATATTTAGAGATTATAAGCCAAGGATAACAGGTAAAACTAACCAAACAAGGATATTTAGAGATTATAAGCCAAGGATAACAGGCAACACTACTAAAAGACATTCTTTTCCTTTGTTTTCTACTGAAAAATGTTTAGTTGTTATTTCCATCGATATTTTGATTGTATTGATGAGAAAAAAAGCAGTACTAGTGTATATTATACGAAAAAAAAGTTAGTTTTCCACCTTGCATTTTCTTAATGAGCTGTTCAGAGTGGAAAAATCATATTCTATAACACAAGTTTTTGTGGGAAATGACTTTCTAGTAGTGTAATTACATATTCTATAAGAGAGAGATATTACCAAGATTATAACAAATTTTAAGCTAATACTAAATACACCAGATTAATGTATTTCAAAATTTTATATTGGTCCTAGTTGATAAATATACAGAGATATTACCAAGATTATAACAAATTTTAAGCTAATACTAAATACACCAGATTAATGTATTTCAAAATTTTATATTGGTCCTAGTTGATAAATATACAGAGATATTACCAAGATTATAACAAATTTTAAGCTAATACTAAATACACCAGATTAATGTATTTCAAAATTTTATATTGGTCCTAGTTGATAAATTAAAACTTAACTGTGCCTGGTAATTATACCAAACTATAATGAATGCATAACCCATACAAAAGCACTGTAATTTAACCTTGTTTATTTAGTGTAGGTTTAATAAGTTGAATTGTTAATGTTAATAATGTAAGAATAAAAAGTGAGATTAGTATTATGTATGAGCTGTCATATCTAGAATCTTTATTCTTTTCAGAGGGAAAGAGGAGGGGTGTTATTGACTAAATCTTGTATCAGAGCATCAAACAAGTACATTTGCTGACAACAAAAGTTTTGAGTAGTCAATAATTGGGGCTTTGCTGGATTTATTTAAATATGATTAAAAAAAAACCCCATTTATATAGCTCCCTATACAAGAGATCCTATAAAGTAGAGGGACAGATACTGAAAAAGGGAAGATCATTGTTCTTATTTCTCTTCTGGTATGAAGAAATTAAAAAGAGAAGTATAATAATTAACTATTCTTCTTGTCCCTACTCCCTTTACTATCCAACTTATAATTCAAAAGTACAATTACACTAACTTAAAAATATCTTCAATGATAAATTTAGGTAGGGGTAGAGCTAAGGAACTAAAGGGGCTCACTGAAACCTCACGTTATATATGCAAGATTGGATATATATAGAGAAGAACTGATAAAACTTGAACTTGAATAATTAGTTTCATCTGTTAAATTATTGACAGCTCTCTACTTGACTAACTCAACTTAAGTACACCCTTGATATGCCTGCACAACATATCAAGTGGTCTCAAACTCTTGTAGGATTTCAGTGGTGTATTTAAGTTTAGTTAGTCAAGTAGAGGAGGTGTTTTTTAAGGATATCAATAGTTCATGGATGAATTGATAACTCACACTAAATTTAGAAGTGTTTTTAATACTGTATATAATTTTTTTAATGAAAATCCTATTTCCACCACTGATTTGTGAATGAGACTTATAATAATATTATCTATATATAGTGTTTTTGAACGAAAATGGACCTCACTTGTATGGTGAAGTCATTGTTAAATACATATGTTTGAACATAGATTGGCTTATTAAGGTAAAATAGGAATAAAGTGAAAAGCAACCGACACCTTGTCACAGAATGAAAGTGGTACTTATTAATTGTGGGGGGGTGGGGACCTAATGCTTTTAGGTTAAATCCAAGTTATGATGATTTCAATTTTTGGTAGAAGAATCTTTGATTAGTGTTTTTATAATCAGTGATCATGAAAAATCAACAAAAAGAGAAAGTAGAATAGTACTCATGATGATGATTGGAGGCTTAGAACAGATTCAGTCATATGTGAGGATTTTACTTTTGTCTTACTATCCAAAGACAAAGTGAAACTATAGACTTTTTTTCACTCAAAGACATCTAAAACTCTGCAAGTAAAGAATATGTCTTATTTATTTTATTTAAATTATCATATACATAAAAGGTATCTTATCATATACTATGATATTGTCACTCAATAATAACACTCAATGTAGGTCCTAAATCCTAATCCTAATATAAGGTTTGGTATTAAAATTTATGGTTCAAAATATTAGTTCTTTTAAAGTTATTGAGTTCTAAATTTAATTTGATATATTCAATATATTTTTTAAAATACAATGAGGCAACTCCCCCTCTATTGGTGGGAGATAATAGATAGTACTATTTTCTTAAATTAATAGAAATGTATATAAACTGACTCGAAATAGAAAATGTATATACTATTCCATATATCACGCAAAATAGTAAAAAGAGAAAGTAAGTGTCAGTAAGAGACAAAAGAGTTAGCTTTTTTTCCATGCATGCCATGCAGTCCACGTTCCTCTCTTTAAATGAATTTTCAAATTGTACGTAACTATCATCTTATGATCCGATATAAAATGTTTTTTCCCCTTCTTTTCTTTTAGATGAAGATGAAATTTTTTTCACTTTCTTTTTTCTTGTTTTTTCCCCTTGTTATTTTGTGTGTGTGTTGGGGGGGGGGGGGGGATAAAAAAGCCAAATAACATGGGTGGGCACATGGTAAAGACAATTAATCTTGTTGCTTTTTATCACATCTTTAACTGTAAAAAGAGATTTGAAGAAAAACATATTAAGAGCTAATGCTTTTTTTTAAAAAAAAAAATCTCCAGTAAATTACGGCTTATAAAATTCCATGTTTTTAAAGTCAAATGCTGACACTTGTGTCTAAGTGAATTTTAAAAAAAATATATGAATCTGCAGTTAAAAAACTGAATTTAGCAAAGAACAAATAGCTAAACAATAAAATTCATTGAATTAGAATAAAATAGCAATGAACCAACTGGAGAGTTTGTTGCTAATTTTAGTGTTTTTTTAGTAGTTTGGTTCGTAATCGGACTAGTTGAATTAACTCTCTTTCAAAAAGATTAAAAGTTTTGAAAATCGTAATTAACGCATGGAAAAAGGAAAGATGAAATACAAAAGGGAAAAGAAAAACAGAAGAGAACTAATGGCATCCGAAACAATAATTGTTATACATTAAGTGTTCATGATCTGAATTAAATTTCATAATGAACTAACTACAGTAAAATACTTAAACC